AAACACAAAAAGCAGTTCTAAAGGAATTAGTTTTCAATCTAGATTTAAAAGTGCGTAGCTACGGCGGCTTCCTAATATTGAAACGAAGAGCGTTCCAGACGGCCGCAGAAGAGCATCTGAAAGCGCGTGATGCAGTGGCCGTCTTTGTTCTATGGCGAGCCAAAATCTGCTGCTGCGTGGATCACCGGAGTTCGCGTGATGGTCTATGCTCTTTGACGAGATCAGCAATGTATTGCGGTTCATTTGTGGCAATCACTTTGTGTGTCAAGAGTGTGACCATATAATGTATTCTGAATAAGGGAAAAGGGAAATGCGCAGCCCTGCTACACGTAATGCCACTGCCGACAGAAAGGCTCTTCTGTCACGGAGAATGAATTAGACCGTTAATATACGTGTGTTGTTTACTCAACTTAACGGGGTTGTTATATTTTCCTAAAGTAATTTGGTTACTTAATTTGTTTGCGGTCATGATGCCACTAAGTCACAAACCGTTGACGAGTGAGAAGCTGCTAATCCTTAAATAAAGACAAAGATCCGCCGTGTAGCCTACACAGGCTGTTGGGGCAAGTGCTGCGAGAAAGCACTTACTGAGGTTGAGATGGCACAAAAGGGCATAACACCAAGCTCGGCTGAACTTTGTCGTGTATTAGTGATGGTTACACACACCAGCTTAGGTACTCATTTAAGGCCGAGTCGACATAGGGGAGACCCACGACCAGTTTAGATAATAATCACTGGTGTTGGCTGTGAGCAGCGGGAATCAGACTGGGGTTTCCGGGTTCTAAGCTTGGAGCACTAACCACTGTGCTACAGCTCCCACATCATTAAACAGCACACACACACACATGCGCTTATATAAATATATATACACACACACACATTTTTTTACGCACGGTTAATCCACCACATCCCCCCCCCCCCCCAATTGAACAATGGAGAGTCAACTGTATTTCTATTATGTAGGACAGTAATATGTTTTAAGATGTTTTTATTTAATCCAATTTCAAAGGTAATATTCATTCCTGAGCCGCTTATCACAAACAAACATTACGGGCGGCGGCGATGAGATCGAAATATCAACTCAAACTAACCCGACAAGAAGAGGTTGACGAAATTAAATATTTCACAAAGCGTGCACAAAGGAAACAAGCAAATAAATAAGCAAAATGGAAATAAATAAATAAATGCGCCATCAGCATGAGGCAAGATTCCCACAGAGATCTACAGCCTGTGCACTGTCTCATCACTTGTCACTTGTGTTTTGAACCCAGGGCAGGTTGCAGTGGCAGAGGGCATGACCTTGTGGAATAGGGCCACGAAACGGGAGGGATTCCTTTTAAATGAGGCCAGAGCCAGACCTCTATGGACAGCTGTGTGGAGAATGTTAAAGTTGTCTGTGGGTATAGTGAGAGAGAATTGATGATGGGCGATGGTCACGTTCGTTAAACGTGGTGTCCAAAGACTGTGGAAGCATAATATGGTCGATCAAATTCTTTCATAATTTTTTTAAAAATCTGGAATAATAATTTACAGACATTTGTCATTCCACTGCTGAATCAAGGCCTCCTTTACCATGCTAGTCACGTCGAAATTGGTGAAGCAGGAGGGCCAGTTCAGATATCACACGCCACCGATGCGAGCCGTGGCCAGGTATCAAACTCGGGAAGCCCGGAATCAAAGTGCAGTGTTAATCACTTTGCCACCAATCCACCCAATTTGTTTATATCACAATCTACATCCCAGTAGCGTTCTCTGCACTGTGTAATGAGCTCAGTACATTCCTTTAAGGAAATTAAAATGTGTATCTTTTCAGTGAAGGGCCCTGGAATATAAGAGCACAGAGCCACTCCTGGGGTGACTTCATTAGGCCCACCTTATTGAAAGCTCTTCGTCAAATCCGTCACTCGGGCTCTGCGTGGTGGCTTTACTCCTCCATCACTCATTTGGTACATTAATGAATGTCAAACCTCGCAGCTGAATAATACCAACGTAAACGAACGTATGTATATTTTGTGTAATTAATTGTTTTCTGCAGTTATTGGTGACCCGGCAAAGAACATCAACTCCCTACACTTGAGAATATTAGACCTGAGTCGGCAGTGACTTAATTTAGTTGTATGTCATTCGGTTTCCATTTCACGTTTTAGTTGAATAAATATTGCATTAAATATTATTTTTATCTATTCTTACGAACAACAAATCCTACCCACAAACAGGATATACAATTGATTCAGCCGTTGTGTTTTGTCAAATGAATGCCTTCTGTATGAAGTAAATACTTTTCAGGAGAATTAAGTGCATGTAATGAAATCCATCCAATAGTAGTCATAATCAGGATGCTCCTGTGCCAATACAAGGCATACATCAGGGTCAGTATGCGATCTCAGTCGGAGCAGTTGCATAGAAACACAATCTTTTTGAAAAATGTTTTACTCAACTTTAAAACAGGCTGCTTTTGATTAAAATGCATTTTAATTATTCATCCAACTTCTAAATGGAAACCGAATGCGCGTTTCATTTTTGTTACCCAGTTCATGTAAACGCTTCTGCCAGAAGTTGCATATTGATATAAATTCCATGAGAGTTTAATAGAGGTTTTAGAAAAAACTATTCATCACAGGATTGTGTATTTTCAATGGCAGGCAGATGCATGAAAAGTGACACTGAATAACATCTTAGTAATTTAACCCCAGCCAGAGATTGCAAATTCATAGTTATGAAAATCACATTAACTACAGGTTAGGATGTTGGACGTTAAAATAGTTTTATGTTGAAATGTATATATTTATTTATTTTAATATTCAAATAAATTTTCTCACAGTTAAGCCAATTCCATTGCATTCTGGGTTTAATGCAAAACATTATCTGTAATATATGTGTAAGTAACGATCACACACGATATATAGCTGATTTAGACTGCTCGTCGAGTGCTCGATCTACATTAAGAAGATCGTGAGTTCAAATCTTGGTTTTTATTTTGTTTCAGCAGCCAATACAATCACAACCACCTTGTGAAAAGTCAGCGTTGCTCAACCTATTACAGACTGGTCCCCTACCGTGGGAGTGTGGAATTTCCCGTGCTGTTTCAGGACAACTGAGAGAGACGAGCACTGCACCGTTCTTGTTTTAACAGGGGCACAACTTTGTTTATATTCATAGAAGATCTTCACATTGACTCCATCTGAAGATAATTTTACGTAAATAATATTTTTTTAAAGGCATAACCGTTGAACGTATCGCATCAGCCTACCCACTGAGGCCCTTTCTGGGAGGCACTTCACACCTCTACTTGGCATCTCAGGAAGCCACCGAGTGGATTGCCAAACCTAGACGTGCCGTTGTCAACTCTTCCCACAATATAGGAAGATAAGGTTTCTAGGCTCACGAACAAAATTGGCATTGGCCTCGATTTTTATTTGGAAAGACAGACTTGTTTTTTTTTATATTGTTGCCTGTAACCCTTACAAGGAGGTGTTTGCATATAAATGTTGTGATTTTCTCCTAGCCTGGTAGATCAAATGTAATGCTCCAAAAGGCAATATTCCTCTGTTATGATGATATTTGGTACAAAGGGTAACCATTGCCGTGAAAATGCATTCGCAACTTCCTTTCACAGCATTATCTGCACTTATTTACATAATTCATGAGAAGTTTGCGTGATCCATTTGAGAACGTAATGTGGAACATTGCAATCGTATCCACCTTGCACTCAATTACAGGGACACTCAGGTGTGTATCAAGGTACACGTCTTGGGAGCACGTGCTCTGGATGATGATGATGATGATTATAATAGCAGAAGATGCGCAGTACAGCATGACCCATTATACAGATGGTTCTATCGGTTGTGTTCTGACACCGATGATTGACTCTCAGTCTCAATACACACTGCTGGAAAGAGGGCCTTTTTGATTGCCCGTGAGTATCAGGCACAGTTATTGTAGATCTCCAAGCGCGTAATGGGTATTGTGCCGAATTACTACAATGATGGGCGTAGTCACAAATTATGACATACTGCTGTGTGCTGGGTGTGTTGTGGAGCTCGCAGGAATGAGTGAGGTTTATCATCCAACAGCATGATTTCGAACTCACTGGCTCTGTGTGTGCCGTAAATATAAAGGCATTCTTGTCCTATTTACGCGAAAAGCCTAACTCAACGGTGCGTATTTACGTTGCATGTGGTATACCTTCGTGTGATGTGAGTGCAGATGTTCCATTTTGGTAATTGTTTTTTGTTGTTTCTGAATGGTTTATTTTGGTTCTTAGTTGGTGAGAGCTTCAATTGCTGCATGAATATTCTGCGGAGTGAAATGTCTTTTCAATGTGGGTTTTCTGATCACTTACGGAAAGCGCTGGATTATAATTATTAACTATAATCGGTGTGTGTTGCATTTGTGTGTGTGTGTGGGGGGGGGGTAGCAGTAATTAAGTGATTAGCACTCTGCACTACGTACCCAGCAACCCGACTTCTATTCCCACTTACGCCCAACACCAGTGACGATTATCTGAACCGGCGATGACCATCCTCTAGGTTGCCTCAGCCCGTACACGAGGGCCTGGTGCGGTGTGTCAACATCGTCACGAGGGGTGTTGACCAACCACCCCTTCGTGTGCCGTGCCGGCCTTCATAGGTGCTACTCACTAACAGCACTTGCCCTAGCAGTCTATTATATTTAGATTTGAAGCTTTCGTGACTGCAAGGATTCATACTCTTAGGTTTTTTCGGTAAAGTCACGTAGGTAAAAAAAATAAAATTAATAAAAATAAAATAAAAATAAAATAAAAAATAAAAATCACGACGTTTTGGAGGCAACACAAGCCGGAGTGTTGCCTCCGGCTTGTGTTGCCTCCGAAACGTCGTGATTTTTTTAAATTACTTTTATTAATTAAATTTTTTTACCTACGTGACTTTACCGAAAAAACCTAAGAATAAAGTCTATTAAAGGCTAAACGGGGCGGGATCTTCTGTGCCTGTTCCATCTGCTGCGTGCCCCTCCCATAGTCGTCGGCGTGCACAAACTTTCGAGCGCCGAGGGTGGCACGGACTTGACGTTCCCGGTGAAGGGCCGGCGCAACATGATCAAGTGGGTCAAGAGCTCGGAGGACAAGGTGGTCATCTCCAACGCGGCTCTCTCGTCCGGCCGCCAGGGTGAGAGGGGTGGGAAGCGTTCCACCGTGAAGACGAACCGCTCTACTCGGGGAGCTCGACATCATCACGTCGGCACAAATAACCACGAGGCACCGCGCGGAAACCTCGCCATCGAATGCCAAACTCGGTTGGCGTTATTCGAGAAAGTCGGCAATTGTTTTAAAATGTTGATGGGTCATGCCCTTTATTTATTTATTTGATGCCTGAGCCCTGCCATAATAAATGTGGCGTTTTCGCCACAAGGACTACCCCACCTCTATTTCAGTTGGGTGATATTAATGACGAAATACATATTTCTATTTGGAACCTTAATTACCTTAATTATGTTGCACAAGCTGGTTTCCAGTCATAAGGTTGAGAGTTTAAATCCAGGAAAAGGTCAACTCAGCCCTTAGAATTGATTAAATGATCACCACTAGGTCAACATTATGCATGGTGGGAATTCCATAGTGGCTACCCTGCCATAGGAGTGTAGCATTTTCACGACTGCCATACAGTCACCAGTGGAGATGAGCATCATTACGTTACGTAATATTTGCACGTTAGAAACTTCAACCTTAAAAAAATGAAAGCATGTGCGTGTCTTATGCAGAAACGTTCTAGCCGAATAAGCAGCAGATGTCGTTTAAACATGACATGTATTTCTCTAAAATACACGTCTTCTAAAACAAGTCATGATCTCAGACATAATGACGTCAAATGCGTTGCAGTGGGTTTTTTTTTCTAGCATTAAAGCATTATGCATTGACTCAAAGCAGCGTTAATGCCAGGGCAGTGCATGCAACATTAGGCACAAGATTCCTAGCCATTGATGATATAAAACTCACCGAGCATGAAAGGACCTCGTGTGTACATGAGCTATATTTTATGTGGTTTATTTGTGCGCATGCTCTTGCGTTGGTTGCAGGAGAACCGCCGCCGGTTTATGTCATCGGAGTGTCTTTTTATAAGAACCTGGAAGGCATCATACCCAAGCCAAGGTAATAAATTGTGCTTTATTTCCAAATATATTTCCACGTCAAGTGCACCACTAAATCGCTACGAAATTGACAAAAAAATTCATAATTGTGCCTTTCGCGAAGACAACACGCGCAACGCCCCCGTTTACACACGTTGTACTATGCTCGCACTACAACACGTAGCAGAGGCATGGCATCACACAGAGGCTGTACATGCATATATACAGACGCGCGCACGCCACCATAATAGGCCTTTTGACATCGTTGACAGATACAAACATATATAAGAAAAAAATAATGTGCAAAGAAAAAATCCTCTCAAAATATGAACACTGAGCAAAAACCCTTTCGCTGGCATGCTCGTTAAACATTCTCTCTTTTGCTGTGGAGCCTCTGCAGCATAGAGTAGAATTTGCAGTTTGAAGTATAGTTAATCCCACGCAGACTTTACATGTGTATTCATGCGCCTACGATTTATAACGAGTGAAATATAATGACGGCTTATAACCTTTTTTTAAAGTTTCACGGTTAAAATGTTAGCCCAAGAGAAACAATTAAAATGCTCACATCTTTTACCACCTGTAATTGGATTTTGGAATTAAAAAATATGTCATGCAGAGTTGGCAGGCACTATTTTGTTCTACTAGATGTGTGTTTTGAACTAGTGAAACATTATTCGAGAAACTTAAAGATATTATCCTAATTGTGCCACTGAAAATCTATCTCGTTTCGATTTGAAAACTTTTGCAAAAAGCAGCTCTTCTGCAACTTAGTTCTAAACGCACTGATCTTAAACGAGTGAATTAAATGTAAGCAAGTGAAATGTCTGTCCTTTGATCAGAAAAATGTTGTATTTTGCAGCAATGGGACCATAATAAACTCCAGGATAGTGTCTGTGACCATCCGGCCAGCACCAAAGAACAAGGACTTGCCACTTCTGGAAATAGAATTCTCTCACACATCGAATGTGAGTTCACCGTCCGCTTTGACGAGTCCTATTTTTCATTTTCAAGGCAACACCTATGGTGGATGGGGCGTTCTGGTTGATGTGGCAGGGCAGATGAATGCACAATCCATTTAACAAATCGTAACTTGTGTTTCGGCTTCAGTGGTGGAGCGGTGCTTAACGTACTGTGCTTTGAACCCGCGGACTTGAATTTAATTCCTGGCCAATGGGAAATTATATTTACCAACCCACACTGACCAGCATCGGTGAGGTATGGTCTAACAACCCCATGACTGATATGGCGTGGGAAGGCTTTCATCCAACAATGGAATGACAATAGGCTGTGAATTATTATTGGGTCGTAAATGCAAGACACGCGGATAAAAAAAGAAACAACAGTGCAAATATAACATGAGAGCAAGATGCACTGGATAAGGTTATATCCAGGTTTAAGTAAGCTCTATATTTAGTCTCACAGTGACATAAACACACGCAAATCTCGATTTAAAGCTTTCATGACTGCAGGGATTCATCTTCTTGGTTCTTTCGGTAAAGTCACATAGAATGGAAATAATAAAATAATAAAAATTTAACATAATAAAATCATTCTCACGACGTTTCGGCCACAACGCAAGCAGCCGTCCTCAAGTGGAGAACAGGTCTGTCGAATACTTTATTTTTATTATTTTATTATTTACATTCCACGTGACTTTACCGAAAGAACCAATTACACACGCAAATCTATAAAGAGAGTGTAAACATGTGAGGAGTAAGGGGCGCCGCCAGACAAACGTTCGGTACAGGTGCAAGTACACGCTATGTGTTGCTTTATTCGGGAAGTAAAGAGGGGGATGAGTGAAGAGAGGGAACCAAGCTGCAGATGAGCGACCAGGGTATTCCAGAAAAGTGGAGCAGTGACACGGAAATGTTTTTTTTTACTACCAAAGTTTTAGAAAATGTCATTTTTAGAAGGAATACGGAGGCACTTGTGAGGCTGCGGGAGGGAGTCAGTGGAACTGAGCGGTCCTTTAGGTAATTGGCAGATTTGTTTAAGAGGACCTTTAGGATGAAGATGGCCCAGTGGTGGTCTCTCCGGATATCCAGGGGGACAGATTTGAGTTGAATTATTCACTTGTTTTGGGGCATTTACGCAGCAGCTTGTGCACAATTGCCAAGTGAGTCTATAGTCATATTAGTCTTAATTTTTGCGTTGACTTTGTTATTGTTTACACTTTGAGTCCTTTTTTTTACACAGCATTACTCTCTTATTCATCCGTGTTTCATTGATTCAACATCGTTTTTAACGTTATAGTGCACTACAACAATTTGCTGTTATCATGCTTTTAAAATAGTCTGCCTCAGCAGCAGACCATGCTTTACCACCTGATGACGGACGCTTGTGTTGCGCCTAAAACGTCGTGATCTATTTTATTTTATACCTACGTGACTTTACCGAAAGAACCAAAGAGTATGCTTAACTAAGTTTATTTTTTTCATCAGTTAATTGTGCTGTTGCAGTGCATTGTAGTCCAGGTCTCCTTGAAAAATAGACTTGTGATCTCAATGGGCTCTTGCTGAGCCGAAAATAAAGGAGTTGGTACGTCGTGCTAATGGTTATTACAAGCCGAATTTTATTTTTAAACCCCCCCTCCCCCAAGAAAATATTCCAATATTCCTATCAATTGTTGGTGTTGCTGTCATTGTGTCAAGCTTAATATGAATGCAAATACTTCATTTCCATTTTCTAGGAAGAACTGCTCACGTATAATGGTTCGCTATGAAGAGAGACCTACATTTGCACGATTGGCCTTTTCCTTAATGAGTGTTTTGCTCGCACGAGAGCAAAATCGGTGCACACGGAGAAAACCCCGTGCAGTCCGAGGGGACGTCATGTCTTAAAATCTGCGCGGGCAAATCATAAACCCCATTTGCTGCACTGCCATCTCTTGGCCACCTTGTACCCGCGATTAAATCCGCACAATCCATCAAACTCTGCCTCCAAAAGAGCCGGTTTACAGGCATGCACCACTACTACGCCTGCACGGTGATTTCAGCAGACGTTGGCCGCTGTTGCAGTCTCCGCCGTCGGCGGGTACATCATCGGTGTGCCGTTAGAGTCGTGCTCCGTGGTTAATTGGTTACGGGATGGAAATGGCAGAGAAGCTCACAGCACAGGGACTTGTCACATATCCCGTGTGCGTCGGCAAAACACTTTCAGAACATCGTATGCATTTTTTTTATTGTTTTATTGTATTATTCCTTTTTCCCTTTTGGCAAAACGGTGTCAATTTGCTGCGAATGATTAATTCACACGTTGCCAATCGTGAAAATGCATGCTGCAGTCTTAATAATGAAATGTCTGGAAGCATTCTAGCATTGAAAATTGCTGATGTGAAGATGTATATTGAATAAGCTCATTAGTTGCATTTCTGTACATACCCAGAGGGTGGGACATTAGTGTTTAATCATGAAATTACAAACATGTATTTATTGCAGCGAAATGGGTTCAATAATAAATCATTATTAGGTGTTTAATTCAACCGCACTTGCATCTAAGTATAGTACTGTGATAGCATATGCATCTGTGCATGTGTACATACATATGGGGAGTGTCAGTGTAGCAGTTAGCTAGTGTGCATGTGTAAATACATATGGGGAGTGTCAGTGTTGCAGTTAGTCAGTGTAGCAGTTAGCTACACTGATGCTCCGTTTTCCCGCTCATGGCTAACATCGGTGACAAATATCTGAACCGATCTTGGACCTCCCCTAGGTCGACTCAGCCTCAAATGAGTACCTGGTGCGGTGTGTAAACATCGCCACTAAAGAGGCAAAGGTGGCCGGGCATGGTGTGGGCCTCCCACCCCCTCGTGTGCCACAATGCCGGCCTTTACAGGTGCTCGCTAACAGCACTTGCCCCAACAGTCTGTTTAAGGGGAATCTTTTTTTGTTTTTGTATTCATGTTCTACAATTCTGGCCATCTTTATTCCATTTCTGTTCAACCCACATCAGTGACAAGCGATTTTGCACCTGTCCAGGGCCCTCGCCTAGGTCATCTCAACCTTTAATAATCACCCGGAGCTACATCATGGGACCTCCTTTGCAAAAGAGGTCCCATGATGTAGCTGCTCACCCCGAGCTCTCATTACTCTGGTAGTGCGTTGTCTTTGAACTGTGCGCCTTTTGGCGTCATCTGGTCGAACACCATATGAGACTAGGCTCTAAAGAAAGCTGTCTCTGGTGTGGACTAATCAGTTTCAAGGACAATGTATAAATTATCAGAGTATTGTTTTTTGTTTGCATTTGACTGCAAGTATTGTGGTTAATGTAAGCATGATTCCTTGCAAAAGGTGTCAGTTTTGTTGCCAGAAAAAAGGGGGAAAACCCTATTAGTACACCTGGAGCTGTTTGCGTACATCAGCCATAAGGAGACGTACCCAGCCAAGGGGTGCTGCTGATCACCCCATCTTACACGATGCTGGCCATAATAGGTGCTCACTAACAGCACTGGGTGCCGCGGTGGTAAAATGTGAACTTCCTCGCCTGGTATACAGCAGGTCGTGGGTTCGATCCTTACCCTGATGCCTGCTGCATATTTTGAGCTTGAATGTTTCTCTCCCCGTGGTTGTGTGGATTTTTCTCCAGAGCTTCTGGTTTTTCCCTCCACGTTTAGAAAAATGCGTTTCGAGTTTTTGGCCGCTTATTCATTTCCGCGTGATTGTTGAGCTATCATTTGTGGCCAGGTCGCTTCTAAAAAAGAGCTATATAGCTCAGTGTGTCTTACTTGGTAAAGTAAAACAATGGTAATAGTTCAGTTTTACTTGCCCCTTTGGCCTCAAAGGCCACATATTGGTTCATTGTCATTTTCTGTACGAATGTGTCTTCTTTTTAGCAACATTTGTTCAACAGGCTTTACTCTGCTGATGAGATTCAGACAGTGTGAAACCAACAACAATGATAATACAATGGAGAGACTGGTGTCCGCCTTAGAGATGTAAAATTTCCGCCAGTGGCTCAGGTCTACCAATGGGGATGGGTGTGACAACATGCGCTCTTGCTTGAGGGGAGCGGTGGTATAGCGGTTAGCGCGCTGCACTACGAACTTGGCGACCCGGGTTCGATTCCCGCTCACGGCAAACACCAGTGACGATTATCTGAACCGGTCCTGGGCCTCCCCTAGGTCGACTCAGCCTCAAATGAGTACCTGGTGCGGTGTGTAAACATCGCCGCTAGGGAGACAAAGGCGGTCGGGCGTGGTGCTGGCCACCCACCCCCTCGTGTACCGTTCCGGCCTTCATAGGTGCTCGCTAACAGCATTTGTCCCTACAGTCTGTTAAGTCTATACGGGGGATCTTTTATCTTTGTCTTGCTTGAGCAGGGAAAGGCCTTTGGCTCCGATATCGCATTCCAGTGGGAAGACTCAAATTAATTTTCATCGACAACGATAGGTGGCTGGTCTTGACATAGCAGCGTGGCTTCAAACATAATTGAGGCAAATATTACAAATTTGCATAAACTGTTTCGGTTTGCTGACCTGGCAAATTTACACAGCAATGCAGAGGCGTTGGCACCAGCCGTGCCAACCAGTGCTTGATCCGCAAGCTGCGACGTTCGACGCGGTGCGCGTTCAATCATTCATTACTCGTTCCTGGAACTTGACCGTCGCGCTTTTGAAATAGTCCACACAATCGCCTGTTACTTAGTAACGGAGTTGCGGTGTACATTATAAGCATGAACAATACAGGGAAATCGGTCACATCGCTTACATTTTTGGACGTGAGATTAACTCTTTTGCTTCATATCCGGGGAGTATTGACTCGGGTTGAGATTGTGACTAATGCTACTTCATTGTTGCTTAATTAGCATTCTGAATACTTACGAAATAGAGTCATTACTCTGCGTACTGCTGTTGTTCATAAAACGTGCTCCATTGCGTGTGAATAATTATCTTTCATTTCACCAATTTATCTGAATAATATTTGCTGGGAGGGTTTTTTTTTTCCCGATCAGCATGCGCGCAGACTTTACTCAATCCCATGCAAACGTCGCCCTCAATGTACATCACGTTGTCAATCGTCATCAACATCGTCATGGTCGCTACCACGCTCGCGAAATGGCATAACCATCGACAATACCAATTTTTCATCATCCCTAAATGCCTTATTGAGGCCCGACTCACCGCAACGCGGCTCAGCCCGTGGCTCCAAATCTTTATTTTCTACGAGGACGTACGAAGAAACACTTATTCACTTTACGGGCTCTTGCTGTGCCAGCTAGGTGGCTCCGAGTTGACTGAGTGCAGAGAACTGTGGCAGTGGTTGGGGGCGGGGGGAAATAACTAAATCAAATTGCCGTCCGTACCACGCGAGGATTCGTGCCTCAGCCGGGTGCTGCACGTGACAAATCCATCACAGTGAGGCACACCTTGGCAGGACATCGTTCTCGTACCTTCGGAGGATCCGCCGCCGAGGTCTGACGGATTGTAAACCGTCCACGTCAGCTGTATGTGAGATTGAGCGCGGAATGAGGTCGCAATGTTTTTTTGAGATAAGAAATCAAGCTTGGGGGGTGGGGAGGGGTGAGGCTTTTAATTTGTTAACGCGCTGAAACTAAATTTATTATTTACGTAAAATGTATTGACATTGAATTCCGGTATTATTTCAATCAACAATGAGAGTTTGAATGAACGCAGCGTTGCTATCAGAAGTCCACGCCACGCCATTCGATTTCATTTGCTGATTGATTAAGAGCTTCTGTGAAGACAGCAGCAGCAGCAGGACCAGTAGAGACCATCACAATCAAGCCCTATAGCTCAGCTGGGCATTACAAACTTCCCTACTTTTCCCCCACTTTTTGAACAAGATATGACATCTGATGACACGTCCCTTGGGTCGTAAACTTAATTTTTTGAGGTATGAATCATCCACGCAATTCACATGTGTGGTTATGTCTCACCGTGCAAATAAACATGGGCATTTTCAAGGCCGCGTGTCATACACATGGTGAAATATGTCAGAACCATGGTTTAAATTTTCCCATATTTGAAAGACTACTCGCAAATTTGACTGAATTGCAAAAAGGCATAGCAAACGTCTCCGCGACCATCAATATTTGGCAGGACCCTCCTGAAAGAGAGTCTTTAGACTATAAAAAGTATAATAATAAAGGTTGCACGATTATTACATGTATAAATATTAAAATGAATGCCAGCGAATTTACGGGAGAGGTTTTTTTGAGTCAGTAAAATACATCCCAATGGAGCCATGTCTTGAAATGAAGAAAATCCTCTCCGTAATTTTCACCGCCAGCTGGCAAAGGAATGGGCACTTGTTAAGTTGTCATTTAATCTTATGCCAATACTTTATTTTATGCAAGAATTGTTCAACAAAATAAAATAAACAGCACCCAACCAAACTAACCAACAGACGCCCACACCAAAATAATAAGTCACCACTACCCTAAATTGCGATTTAAAGCTTTCGTGACTGCAGGGATTCATCTTCTTGGTTCTTTCGGTAAAGTCACGTAGAATGGAAATAATAAAATAATAAAAATAACACATAATAAAATAATTATCACGACGTTTCGGCCACAACGCAAGCAGCCGTCCTCAGGTGATGACCAGGTCTGTCGGGGAGACAGCGCATGTTAAAAAATATCAAACTCGTAATGCTCACAGTAGCAATGCGTCTCTTGGGAGTCTGTTTTAATAAAGCGAGCTATAATAACGCAATGCAGGGTTTTTCCCCGCTAATGCTCAGCGATGTTTCCCCGTTACCGCAGGGCACGGGCGCATTCTGCTCTTCGTGGGACGCGGCGAGCAGGTGAGTGAACACGGAGCATGCCGACACTTCTCAACGACACGCACCGAGCCGAGAGATCCACCCCACGGGGTCCTCTCCGTTGGCCGAGATTTTTTTGTTCACTTTGCCACCCGCCAAGGCTGAGGCGCGAGCGAGGGGGGGAAAGCGTTTTCGTTATTTGTTGTTGTTGTCGTCGTCGAAAGGACGACATTTCTGCTCGTGCATAATTGCCAGCGTGGTGGGTTATTACTTGGCAGATACAAACTCCCGCCGTGGGAATGCGATGCGGAGTTTACGTCCTCTGCCTCAGGGCTACCGGTGAAGATGCGTGCTGCCACGTTGCTGCTTTGGACGGCGAGACACTTTGAGATTTTATTTTTTATTTGTGGGAAGTCAACAACGATCAGTCTTGTGGACGGACCTAATCCCACCATTGGAATGTCGAGTTTCCCCCACTGGCTCAGGGCCACAAATTAATGAGTGCAACCCAATGCTTGTTGCAGGATGAAGACCCTTTGACTCGCCTCTGACTGATTTCATTAATATACTTTTTTAAATGCTTTATTTCAAATGGACGTGAATGATTTTTGCAGTTTCTTTAGTCGGAAATAGATCTATTATATGCATTGCTTCATTTTGTTTGGTTTTATTTATGATTTTAATTCAATGCCTCCTATGTTTCATGGCTACACAGCTACTGCCAATTCAGTATGCACAAGAGTATGACTCAATGATTGTTCTTCTCATTTTGGAAAATTTTCATGAACAAAATAATATTTATGGTTTGTACAGTTTAGCTCCATAGCATAGGTGTAGTGTTGGCATATCACTGCCGAATTAATTCCATTTTAAAGCAATTATTCTCTCATGTACGATTTGGTGAATGTCTCCTAAGCATAAACATTCACAGTAATAAATTTTTCAATGCTTCTTCACTTGTCTGCATAATCCTGTGGTGATATTGCGTAGCAATTTTATAACAAAATGAAACATTCATGCATCTGATAAAAATGAATAGAAAGACCCTCATTCAAAGTGTGTATTCAATGTTGGTTATACATCAATCAGTGTTGCTACATCTGCTGGTGCCTGAATTGAAATTCACGAAAGCAATCCTCCATTTCTCATTTCTCGACTCTGTAATTTCAGATTACAGCGACAAAGTAAATGTTTTCCTATAAGCTCAGCAGATGAGTTGAGAGCTATAGAAGTAAGCAAATAAATAAGCAAACCAAATATTAAATCAAACTTCGTGAAATCTCACACACCAGTTCCTTTATTCTGTGTTTTGCATGCTAGGCGTAAAGAGACATGTGTGTCTGTCGATTATAGATCCTTATAAAAATTATGAGCTGCTACAAAGTATTTTAGAGTTTAGGCAATTTAAGATTTGTGGCTTTTAGATGCTGTGTGGGAGGTGAAACGTTTGGTCCTCAGTAAATGGTAATGATTTTTGCAGCCTCTTTATGGGAAGATGTTGCGAATAAAAAAGGGAAAATGAAAAGAAAATTGTATTATTCACTTGAAATACACAGCAGCGGTATGATTCATAAGAATTATTATGAAATAATGGATGTTTTGTAGAAGCTGCGTATTTTATTTTATTATTTTTTTGCACACACACAATGATATCCAACGTTTCAAGCAATGAGCCACTTTTTGTGATTTGCTCCAGGGTTACTAAGTGAATGAGAATTGTATTCTATTTCCTAGTCGCCACAAATATTGTTTTTCACTTGCAGATCATGCCAAGTCATCATCTCAGCTATGTGCATTCATGTACTGGCACAGTGGTTATCACAATGTGCTGTGAACCCAGTGATCTCAGTTGTTTTTTTGAAACCACGACTAACATCAGTGGCGAGTGATATTTGATCTCGCTTTGAGCTCTCTTTCACGAACCCCGCATTGACCAGTGTGGTGAAGTATGGTGAAACAACCTCCATGGTTAAGCTTATCCGGGAGCGAATTGAAAATGTACAAACATTATTTGCGATGTAAATGTACAAATAATTGTATCATTTTAAGTTTCAGTACTTAACGGAGCCATTGCATAATTTTTTATAATAGTCCTACCATAATCTGTTGTCAGAAATTATACAATTATTACTAAAACAAATGCAAATTTATAATTAACATATGATTTTTCAACAATATTATTTCATTGGATTTTTTGGGCCATTAAATATTTATTGTGTTATTGCTGACACGACCCAGTTTCTGCGGCTTTCATGATTATTAAATCCTTAACCATGCTACCATACGCTCTTGCTTAAATTTACCAGACCGTCGTGATGTATGCAATACAATGCTACCACGTCGCTCGACATCTCATCTCCTAAACGCTGTGGCCACTCTGGTGGCAGGCCGCCATGGGTCCCGGCAACTTGTCGTCCTTTCATTTCCACTCCACCCCGTCGTCTTGCTCCCTCCAAAATCTGAACGTAATTAAAACTAATTGAACAGGTTGAGTGGTCGTGTCATCGATTGAATTCTGCATCCAATCTATAACCAACCCAAGGCAAAGAACACAAAAGCACCCTTATTAAGAAATGGAGGGCTGATTGTGATTGCATATGAGGTGCACTGTATTTGTCAGTAGTCCGAATAAATCAACAGCGCCGTAGAAAGGTGCTTGCAATGATGTGGCCCTTTATAGATAGGTGGTCATCAAATAACCAAATAACTTTTTCTGCTGGTGGTGACTAGTATGGCTCAACAGGGCTGATGCCAGTATGAGTCTACATAGCAATCATCGCCCCCTGCTGTCAATAAAACTTGGTAGGACCTAAATTTCGATTTAAATTTCGATTTAGGACCTTCCTGGTGAAGAGCCATGAGACTCGGTGCCACTTTCCTGAGTGAAGAAGAGCAGTAGAAGTCACGGGAACGCCCTCCTCCCCTCACAACTCACTGCATTGTGTGAATGTCAGGCGCGTGGGATCGCCTCGTTGCTAAGAGCCAAACGGGGGAGAATGTGACAGCTGTTGCTGGGCTAAAGTGAGAAATGCTGTCCTCTGCAAGTTTCCGAATGAAAATGTCTCAATCTGGTTCCATAACGCCGGCAACGCGATTGCGATATGCGGTGTGAAAGGCAAGTAAGAAAAAAAATCATCGTCGATGAGTTCTAACCATAGCTTCTCCTGCTCTGAAAAAAATATAATCATTCTGCTTCCCTCTTCCTGCCGACCAGAGATGCAACGCTCGGCAAATGGTCCCCTCGCTTCTGCAAGACGTTACTGAGCGACGCGGGGAAGACACTGTGTCAGTGCGGCAAGGTCTCTGCGTTCACTATCCTGGCCCAGCAGGCTCAAACACAGGTACATGGTCAAGCTTTAACCCCCCCATGCGTAATTGGTCACTGTTGACACACACCGCCTTTGCAGTAAGGAATGGTGTATAGGATGTTGACAGTGGTTGTGTTACCGTCACAGCCATATGGTAATACCTTACCATATTAATAAAAAGTATGCGGCCCTTGCCCCACCACCTTCTCCAACCATTATATAAACGGAGTGGTAGCTCCTGCAATCTCTCATTTACTTGATACAGCTGTCGTGGCTGTGACGGTACCACCTGAAGACGGAAGCTTGTGTTGCCTCCGAAACGTCGTGATTTTTATTTTATTTTACTTTTTAATGTTTTTACCTACGTGACTTTACCGAAAAAACCTAAGAATATGAATCATTGCAGTCACAAAAGCTTCAAATCTAGAATTAGTGGTTGTGTTATTGAGGGATCTGTCCCTGCCATGTATGCACGTACGTATGTTGAACTTCTTTCAGTCAGTCAACCCATGGCACCTGGGTCTGCCCCGTGACCTCCTGCCAACGGGCGTTCGACACTTCACGCGGCTTCAAAGTGCACATGGCCTGGCACGAGCGCCGTGGTGATGTCACCGCCACTTTGTGGCGAATGGCAGCGGTTGTTGTTGTTCATAGTCTTGGTTCTTTCGGTAAAGTCACGTAGAAGGGAAATAATAAAATAAGAAAAAATAAAACAATTAAATAAAATTCTCACAACGTTTCGGTCACAACGCAAGCAACACAAGCAGCCGTCCTCAGGATGGCTGCTTGCGTTGTGGCCGAAACGTCGTGAGAATTTGATATTAGAATGTTTTATTTTTATTATTTTATTATTTCCCTTCTACGTGACTTTACCGAAAGAACCAAGAATATGAATCCCTGCAGTCACGAAAGCTTTAAATCGAAAAAAAGTTGTTATTTAAATTCTTTCACAGATAACCAACCGTGCTAATCAGAGGTGCGGGGGAAGGACAAGAAACTTAACACAAAAATCAGTTCTAAAGAAATATTTTTTTATTCAATTTAGATTTCAAAGTGGATAGCTCCAGCGGCTTCCAAATTGCTATAACAATTTGGAATTTTCAACGAATGGCTCAGGTCCATTAATAGGACCTCCAATGAGCACGTTTGCCTACGTTCAGTGAGAAGTTCAGCATACATCCATTTATAGACTTGAATAATGCCCAATACATTTAAGGTGTGAGAAAACATGATGGAAAGCTCCCTTATCTGTAATTGTTGTTCGTGTTTATATATTTTCTTGGTTATAATGGTTATTTATTTCTTATATCCAACCAAGTGCTAGATTAGAGCGCCTGACTTTGAATTGGAACATTGCAATTTGGAATACTGGTCAGTGGTCAACTCAATCATTCATCCCACTCAGAGAGCATCACCCTCCATAGAAATGTAGATTCACCACTAATGGTTCTGGGCTGCCAACATGAATTAGCTCTGTCCCATTGCTCAGTTGGGTATGGAGTCACTGTGACACAGATTGCTATTAAAATACGAATTGTCAAGTTGTCCAGTCAAATCAAACATCTCTATGCCTCATCACAGCAGAAAATAACTGGATTTTTACCCCACTACCACTGCCATGTAAACAGGTAGGCCGCTATGAACACAAAAGCTCATCCTTACACAAAACTGTATTTAACACCGGAATTATGGATGAACACGCGTTTTTAATACCCCAATAATTGTATGGTGATGATGACAACAAGTATCTTACACGAAATCAATGAATGATGATGATCTTAATAACATTGTAATCCATACATTAATTTAGCTGTCTTTCATGAGCAACAACAGACAACCAGTTAATCCTTTAAATGTTTTACCCACTCACTAGATCGGATAATAACCTTTTATTTTATACCTACGTGACTTTACCGAAAGAACCAAAGAGCAAAGAAAATAAAACTTGATTTTTTAAATTCAGCCTTTCGTGCAGCGCTCATTCTTGTACTACTTTGTATTTCACGATATAAGCAGAATGACAATCATCTTTCAATACATCAACAGCAGGAGAGATGAGTGGTACAATCCTTAGCACATACATGTGTGTGCGCAGTGCATGTATGTGAGACTGTGATCATCCAGAACAAACCGTACAACGCATAACGACGCAATGCCTCGTCCACATTTACAAAGGAGACGTCACAGCGATACACTCCGCTGCTCCTGACACGGTTATCTGGGCTTGACCACCTGAATGTGAAATTGTAGTTGTTGTTCTGCGTCTACATCAGCCATACGGAAACACATTCCTGCGGAGGGAGCTGGTAGGAACGTTGGGTTGCTCGGTCAATGGCCAAGGTCAACGGCAGCGTGGTGTATTCCGCAAATATGCCCGACTGTGAGGGCGGGCACGAGCCGGCGTGAGTAGGTTAAACGTTGAGTTTTATAAGGGCACCACGGGGTGACCAACCCCTCCCCACCCAGCCCCACCCCTCCCACCCCCCACCCAGCCCCACCCTCCCGACCCAGCCCCTCCCACCCTCCCCACCCAGCCCCTCCCCACCCTCCCCACCCAGCCCCTCCTCACCCCTCCCCACCCAGCCCCTCCCTCCCCACCCAGCTCCTCCCTGCACGACGGACGGACACAATAATCCCCTGTGGGCTGGTGTAACCAGGAAGTTCCTACCAGTATAACATTTTGTGTATGTGTGGGTGCGCAAGTTGCGTGGGGAGCGGTGACGCAATGGTTAGCGCACTGCAGTACAAAACCCAGAGACCCGACTTCGATTCCCGCTCATGACTAATAGCAGTGGCGATTATCTGAACCAGTCCTGGGTTTCCCCTAGATCGACTCGGCCTCAAATGAGTATCTGGTGCAGTGTGTGAAAACATCGCCACTGGGGAGACAAAGGCGGCCGGGCATGGTACCAGCCACCCACCGTCTTGTCTACTGTGCTGGCCTTCATAGGCGCTCGCTAACAATACTTGTCCCAACAACCTGTTAAGGCTATACAGGGGATCTTTGTCTTTGTCGTTGTTTGCGTGTCTGTGTGTTCAACAGAAAGTGGAGCCAGTGAGGACACTGTCTGTGGCTCTGATTGTCGGCTGCTCAATCTCTTCTCTCGCTCTCATGCTACTCATCTTTATATACACCCTCATCTGGAGGTATGTTCTCAATTCACTCAGTAAAATAGGCCCGTATAGGATGTTGGCAAGGGTAGTATTTAGCCAGCACCTATTTAAGGTTAGCACAGAATCCCTTGGACTGTTTTAGCCAGCACCACAAATGTCTGCAATCTTCTGTGGCGACACCTCTGTGGGTGACCACACTGTGTTTCAGGTATACTTTTTTTTGTTTGGGCTGAGTTAACCCGAGGGAGGGCTCGACCAGGTTTGGTTACCACGTCCACGATGGGCAGGAAACACAGTGGAGCTACCTTTGCATTGCAGCTCCGTGTATGAGCAAGCACACTGCAGCTCCCTGTGTGACACACACATCCAACTCGAACACGTTTATGTGAAATTTTCAAGCTATCACCGCATTGAAAACTATCACCGCTTTGTCAAAATAATAAAACTTAATTTAACATTTAAAGTGCTGAAAGTTATCCGCAAACCTAAACTTTTACCCCCGAAAACATAAGCCTAACTCCTGACAGTAATCTTAATTTCAAACCACAAGCTTAAGAATGCCTGGATCAAGCATACCCATCAACACTATACTCTTATTATTTCTAAGAATTACACAGCGGTGAAACATTTATATGAATTAACATTTGATGTGAAATGAACGAATGCATTCTTAGGTATCCGTGGGTTTGTTCACAACTTAAGCACCCTCTACCGAAGAGGCATGCCTCTGCTAATTACACCCAGATATACAGCTGTATCTGCTACAGAGGGCTCTATATAGTTGTAGAGAGCTGTTACCAAGCCATATGATTTATATTTAGCTAAAATAATTAATTCAGTTTGATACGGGCTATACGATCATACATGCAATCGATTGCTGTCCCAATTATCGGTTTGATTACGCAGAATAATCTCACATTTTAAAAAAGCCTCACCTACACGCGTGCCACTGGCCGGGAGGTGATGGGTGGGGCTTGGTGACATCATCACTCGTGATGGGGGGGGGGGGTCGCTTTGCAACCAACCAAGAAAAAAAGTTGTTGATTACAATTTTTTTTATCTGTTAATCAATTAAGTTGAAGGATTATTAAAGCTCTAGCCATTGTAATATAACCGTAAACTTGTGTGCAAGCAAAGGTGCCAAATGTCCTGTGGCACTTCTGTGATTGTGTGCATTCTCTTGCATCCCCATTTGCAGATCTATCAAGTCTGACCGGAGTGTGATTCTCATCAACTTCTGCCTCTCCATTATCTCTTCAAACATCTTGATCTTGGTTGGACAGACACAAACACAGAACAAGGTATAGTAGCCAGTCTGCTTGAGTCTTTTTATTGTTGCAACTACGAGCAACTTGATTGTGAAACAAACTCAGTTTCCAAATGGATCACAGGGGGGGGGTTTTCTTAAATAAATGATCTGTTAACAGAAATACTCTGATGGTGCGCTGTCTTTGAGTTGTGCGCCTTTTGGCGTCATCTGGTCCAACCCATGTGAGACTAGGCTCTAAGGAAAGCTGTCTCGGGTGTGGACCAATCAACTTCAAGGACAGTGCATACATTATCAGAGTTATGTTTTTTGTTTGCATTATGACTGCAGATATTGTGGTCTATGCAAACATGACTCCTCGTAAAAAAAGGTGTCAGTTTTGTTGCCAGATAAAAGGGTAAAAAACCAATTTTCATATTTTTTACTGGCAAATGAGGTATCAATGGAGAAATTCTACAAATAATGAGATGTTTTTTTACAAGTTTGAATCTGCATTCTGACTGTTCTGTCGCGTAATAAACATTTTAAACAGTTTTGTGAAATACAATGCCGTAAAATCTAGGAAATTAAAATGTATGACTTGAAAGTGGTTGTTGGGATGTCACGCTTTTATTACAGCGTGGATTTGAGTTTGGCTGCCATCACATCTCTCGTCATCCTTATCTGTGTCTCGCACTGCAGATTTTTAATGCGGTGTTTGCTGTTGTATGGTGGGTACCGGTTGCACCCCCTTAATATGAGGCGGCATTGCCTCAAAGCTGGGCTCTGGCTCAAAATGGACACCACTGCTCAGAGATCTTCGTTGTGAATTTGTAATCAATACATTATGACGACGATAATTATGATGATGACGTGTGTGTATGTGTCTTTGCAGGGTGTGTGCACCATGATCGCTGTGTTTCTGCACTTCTCCTTTCTGGCCACCTTCTGCTGGGTTCTCACTGAGGCCTGGCAATCCTACATGGCTGTGCGGGGTGTCACCATGAAGAGGATCATACGCAAGCGCTTCCTGTGCATGGGCTGGGGTGAGGCTGCTCTTTACACTGCGCATGTTTATCAAGCAACGTTAAACTTCGCTTCTAAAAGCAGTTTAAACCATAATCATAATTATGAAATTTAATTGCCCAGGAAAGCCTTGCAAGTGAGAATCAAGACTTTTTCAGGACAGCCTTCCATTGGAATGTTTGGGAAATTACATTTACAAGTATTTAGCATGCTAGAGAGACCTATAATTCCCACAGAAAACCCACAATTGTGAGAGGTTGACATACAAAAATCCACACAGATGGATTCCATCCCTTGTTGTACTGCCATCTTCTTTCAACTTCCTAGCCCAAGCCTACAACGCCTGGTATTCCCAGGTAGTCTCACATCCAACTATTAACTTGGCTCAATCATACTGAGCCTCTGAAATCAGACAAAAGCAGACAGAAATTAGAGTGATTTGGTAAATTCCGGCTAAGTTGTCGCAATTCGGCCGGTGCCACGTTTCCTCGTCAGCCAGGCCAATTCGGATCGATCTCACGGGAGCTCGCTACGGTGGTCCCCAGCCCACTTCATGGCGCGTGCCACATGCCACTCCGAGCTGGACCAATGCCCGAAACCAGTCGTGACATCACAGGGTCAATGTGGAAAGGAGATACGTGTGAGCCATATCACTCACTTAGTTTCACCTCCCGACTGTGTTTGTGTTGAAACCACATGGCTGAAATTGATATATATATTTTTAAAAAGTAAGTTTAACCATAAACACACAAATGGAACGCACACTTCTTTTGAATCTTGTAAATGAAAAAAAAACACGAGATTTTAAATGTTGCTTCCTGACTGTGATCTCACTGGGCTTGGCAATCCTAACATTAAACATTTATTTTATTTTACTAGGTAAAGCCCATTGAGCTGGCCACAAATGATAGCTCAATGAAGCGACTTATCACGTAGACATTATATAGCAGCCAAATACTCTAAACGCATGTCTCTAAATGTGGATGGAAAAGCCTGGAGGACCCGAAGAAAAATTCACGTGATCACAGGGAGAACATGAAACTCCAAATATACCATGCGACCTCCTGTATACAAGACGAGGTAGTTATCTCATCTCACCACCGTGGTGCGTGACATGGCTGTGCAGGGAAAGTGAAGGGTCCTGGGGCTACAGGGAGAAGGGGTTCAGCCCATGGAGTCTCATGGTTTATGCAGAAGTGTAGGGACATAATGCCTGGGCTCCCGTGCTGGTTCTGAGCCAGAATTGGATCATTCCTGAGCTGACAGAGTCCATCTTCTTGGTTCTTTCGGTAAAGTCACGTAGAATGGGAACAATAAAATTAGTAAAAATAAAACATAATAAAATAATTCTCACGACGTTTCGGCCACAACGCAAGCAGCCGTACTCAGGTGGAGAACAGGTCTGTAGAGAAGACAGAGTCTGAATGACACACCCCAGGCTTGGAGCGTCTATTTAAGCTGGGATGGAGGGGGGGAAGAGCGCCAAGCCTGGGGTGTGTCATTCAGACTCTGTCTTCCCGACAGACCTGTTCTTCACCTGAGGACGGCTGCTTGCGTTGTGGCCGAAACGTCGTGAGAATTATTTTATTATGTTTTATTTTTTTTATTTGATTATTTCCATTCTACGTGACTTTACCGAAAGAACCAAGAAGATGAATCCCTGCAGTCACGAAAGCTTTAAATCGAAATTTGACAGAGTCCAGTTCAAAGTGGTCATGGAAACGAGACATTATTTATGTGCAGAGAGTGCACTTCTAAACACTCGAGATCTAAACATCACACGCATTCAGTGAATCACGAAAACATATTTATTTATCTATAATACATCACTGTATAAAGTCGGGTTTTTTTTATCACTTACAATTGTTCAAACTTGCCAAAAACCATTAATGTGAATCGGAACAAGTTCTGTTTCTCAATGACATTATAAAAACAGTCACTAAATGATACGCTTTTGGAATGTACTGAATCTTGATAGGGGAATTAAAAACCTACATTGCAGGATAAACATTTTAAGAAAGTGAGACGAAGCATTCCCATTCATGTGATTCGATGTGAGGTACACATGCAATATTTAAATGTAACACCCATCATATTTTAGATAAATGCGTTACTTCCAAGAAATCTGTTACATTGGGCACTCCTAAACTTTTCCGACTTGACAATTGCATCTAAACTTCCATGCGCCTTGCATACAATGTAAAGTTATTATCCACACACGCCAAACCTATTCTGCTGGATAGTTTCAGTGTTTGTGTTTAGGCATTGCCCTACCTTCATGCACGATATAATGCATTCCTTATTTGTATTTTTAGCACCAGTAACACATTTTGATGAGCACGCAACACTTATGAAGCTAACCACATGAAAACAAACAGATGCAATTTCGTTTCCCTTCTCTAAAACGTAATCTTTTTTTATTGTTTAACAGCAATGAAGCATTTTGAAGCAATGTAGCACTCAGCTGGATACTTGGACTTGTTTAAATTGTGGGTGTAAAATTTTACTGTGCAGCCTTGGGCTTATCAGACCTTCACTAAATTTAGAATTCATTGTCCACTTTTTTTTTCCAAAGCGATTCAATTAACAATCTGGCACACATCGGAACCAAAATCAAACTTTGTTGTGCAATGAATCGCAAGCCTATTCCGAGGAATTATCAGTCGGGGTCTAACTCAGATTGTCATCATCATCATATTGGGTCGATAAATCAGGTTCAACAATGATTGCATTGTGGATAGACTGGCCCTTGCCTTCAAAGCGTATGAAACACTTAATTTCCCAATGGGTTGTTAGCTTTTTTTGCCAAGTCAACGTAGGCTCTTTGGATATTCTTCAGCTCATTTTAAGGAGCGCGCAATCCGGCGACAGTGGCTGCATGAGCAAAAAAAAAAATCACTCGCTCGCTAGTGGGTGGCTTTGTGCAATGTCTGTTCGCAAACAACACTAAACAATCATCAATTTACACTCGTCACGGTCACAGGCATGAACCTTTTCCCGTTCCGAGACATCTGCAAATTGCAGGGTGGTGGATCCCGTTCACCGCTGAATCTCGGACCACGCAAGTGGTTCGCGTTCATTTTATTTAAAGAGGCGTAGAGCCGTTGTTTTTAAAGACATTGTACTCACCGCAGAGAACTGTAGCAACACGACCGCTGCACTATACTATAGCTGGTACCAAACTGTGCCACGCGCCCTCCTGCATGGCCTTATGGGAGCCTCGGTACCGATAACATTATTTTATTTTGATTTACACATAGGTCATCGATACGGAATGGAAAGAAAACGGGTTAAATACAACCGGCGTACAAACTATAATGCACCGCAGTATATTTTTCCATCAAGAAAGTCACCCACACGAAGAGTAAAAAAATTCCACATTCTATTTATTTTATTCTACATCGATTCATTTCCAAATATTATACAACAGGTGATGTTGAAGCCACATATTCCTTCTTTGTTTGTGTTGATGGATCGTTCAACGCTCTCGGCGAACGACCTATTTTCCCGCCCTGCTTAGATAAGTACCGTACTTTAATCGATATCATAGTGATGTTCGTGAACCACACCTGAGGCATCACCTCCCTAACCCCTAGCACATGGTTTATAGGCTCGTGATAAATGTTGGTAACGTTCCAAACGGTCGTTACGGTTTGGCCACTGTGTTATTGTTTAATACATTATAATAATGAATATCAACACCCTGGCTAAATGAAAGCCTGCCTTCACAATGTCAATCGTGGGCATTGTTTGACCACACTTCACCATGCTGGTAAGAGCAGGTTGGTATAGGGGAGCACTTGAACCGGTTTCAAATATCACTCGCCACCGAAGTGAGCGTGGCCGGCAATCAAATGGGGGTCACCACGTTCATGGCATAGTGCGCTAACTGGCAACTGCGCAGCAACTTTTATCAATGAACCATACTATATAGTGCACATGTATTTCATGCTCATGTGCGCAACGGTCAGTAATCCTGTGCGCGAGGAGATGTGTTGTGTGTGCGGTAGTGTAAGCGGTTAGCGCGCTGCGCTACGAACACGGAAACCCCGAGTTCGATTCCCGCTCACGGCCACCAACACCAGTGGCGATTATCCGAACTGGTGCTTGGGCCTCCCCTAGGTCGACTCAGCCTCAAATAACTACCTGGCACGGCGTGTAAGCATCGCCACTTTGGAGACAAAGGCGGCTGGGCATGATGCTGGCCACCCACCCGCTCGTGTGCCGTGCTGGCCTTCATAGGTGCAACTCGCTAACAGCACTTGCTAAATTTCGATTTAAAGCTTTCGTGACTGCAGGGATTCATCTTCTTGGTTCTTTCGGTAAAGTCACGTAGAAGGGATCGTGCTGTGACGGTTCCACCTGAAGAGGGATGCTTGTGTTGCCTCCGAAACGTCGTGAGAATTATTTTATTATGTTTTATTTTTATTACTTTATTATTTCCCTTCTACGTGACTTTACCGAAAGAACCAAGAAGATGAAGCACTTGTTAAGGCTATAGGGGGATATTTGCCTTTGTGCGTGTGCTTGCTAACAGCCCTTCCCCCAACAGTCTGTTCATGCTATGGGGGGGATCTATGTCTATGTTTGTGTGTGTCTTGTGCCGTGTCCATGCAGGGCTCCCAGCTCTCGTAGTTGCGACCTCGGTGGGCTTCACGAAAGCGAGCGGATACGGCACGGCCAATTAGTGAGCATGACACCAGCACCGCCGCCACCACCACGGTTATCACCACACAGTTCCTCTTGTTTTGCCTCCAAATTAGCAACTCTGAGCTGATGCATTGACACGACAATGTAGATTAAATATTATAATCAGGGGAAGCATAGTTTATTGGCTTTAAGTGAATGATTGAATCTTTTTTTTGGAATTGTAGTTAGTCGTCAATGCGACCATGAACATGTCCTACAAGAATACCATGTGTAGTTCTTGAATGGAAGTCGGCAGTGATTGTCCTATGCAGAGACTGCGTCATTTTGTCTGAATGTAGAATTTCTAACCCAGAACCCAGGGCTACCTCTGTGAATTTTCAGCTGTTTTTTATTGTACGTACGCGCTGTATACGTATGTATGTTTGTTGAACAACTTTCGCACCGTACGTAGCCAAGCACGCGAGTCCGTGGTGCGGGGGGGGGGTAGGAACAACAAACTATACACACAATAAAATGTGATTTTCCTTTCAAGAGAACATTCAAGTTTTTTTTAAATGGACATGATTGTTCAAAATAACAGGTGTGTATGTGAACACCTAGTTAAAATTCCGTATTATTTTCCATGCATAGAACATAATTGTCGTAATTAATATTTTCTGAAAGAGTAGTAGTATTTTTCGATTTAAAGCTTTCGTTACTGCAGGGATTCATCTTCTTGGTTCTTTCGGTAAAGTCACGTAGAAGGGAAATAATAAAAATAAAACATAATAAAATCATTCTCACGACGTTTCGGCCACAACGCAAGCAGCCGTCCTCAGCTTAAATATACGCTCCAAGCGTGGTGGTGTTCATTCAGACGCTGTCTTTCCGACAGACCTGTTCTTCACCTGAGGACGGCTGTTTGCGTTGTGGCCGAAACGTCGTGAGAATTATTTTATTATGTTTTATTTTTATTATTTTATTATTTCCCTTCTACGTGACTTTACCGAAAGAACCAAGCAGAGTAGTAGTATATTGAACATATATATTTCGCACACATATATATGGCACTTAAGTTTATCCAGGTAATGTCTTGCTCATGAAAGTGGGCACACTAAGCTCTGTATAAATATAACCGTGCCGTTACTTGACGACGGGGTTAAATAAAGATGCGTCTACTGATTTATTGTCGCGGGGATCTAGGCAAAAGAAGATTGGAAGATTTGTCTTGCAGAGGATGGCATTCTTAATGGCTCCTTTGATACAGAGTAAATGCCAGGAGACGGGAAATGGCTGATATCTCTCCGCTGTTGGAAACAAACCACACAAACGTTTGGCCGACGCTGGCATGTTTACTTGGTTCAGGACTCAATCGGATTTTTATTCCAGTCATTACGATGATGGCGACAAGGGAGGTGCAAGTTCACAGGACAAAACAGTTGCAACAGGCGTAATTGTCGTGGATATTGTGAATTATAGTTTTATGTTTGTTTTAAAAAGTTCTTTAGTGGAAGGCGACTGGAAAAAGTGGAAGTCATTTCGCATTAAACAAAAGGTAGCTTTGTGGTTTAAAATGTTGGAATGCAGCCAAGAAAAGAGGCTCGAGACAAATTTATATTATTCATAATGGAAACAGTTGCGTAATGAAAGTATTCATGACTTTTACATTACATGCAGTGTAAAGTATTCCCTCACTTTTAGCAACCAGTTTCACAGACGGATACAAATAAGTCATTGTGGCCACAAGCACTTAACAGGAACGATGATGGACTAAAATATCTTGATTTAAAGCTTTCGTGACTGCAGGGATTCATCTTCTTGGTTCTTTCGGTAAAGTCACCTAGAAGGGAAGTAATAAAATAATAAAAATAAAACATAATAAAATAATTCTCACGACGTTTCGGCCACAACACAAGCAGCCGTCCTCAGGTGAGAATTATTTTATTATGTTTTATTTTTATTATTTTATTACTTCCCTTTTACGTGACTTTACCGAAAGAACCAAGAAGATCAAATATCTTGGTTCAAGTTTTAGTCAAGGAGCTTGAACTTGGTTCATTGCTTAGCCTGGCAGCTTGCTTTGTGTGAAGTAAATTGTAGGTGCCTCCACCCGTTCGAAGAAATCATCGAAGAGCTGCATTAAATTCACGTAAATTATAGCATGAGAATGAAACAAATTATTTACAGTACCTAGACAATCCTCACCGAGGCCCAAGACTATTTTTAGTTGGGTCCTGCATGATGATGTTTGGAGTGCCTGGAGAAAACTCACCAGGCACACGACTGCCTCATAGCCGTTTTTTATATTCTGTTTGGCCACACTGCCGTTTTTGTTTAATTCTTTTGTATTCATTGTGCCCGTGCACCACTGCCAACGGCAGCATCTCTATGTAACTTGTTTCAAACGTAAGCGATGCCTTCTCATTCGTTCCGTGTTATAAAGAGCGCCGTGATAGCAAAGCCAGACCAAACGTCTCGCGCTCCCCAGCGCTTCAACTCACAGCGAACGCCGTGGCCGACGTAACACGTCCTACGGTATTTACTGCGCAGGAGTTTGCTGATCTCTCACAAATCCGCTGCTTCGGCACCGAGGCTACTATCCGGCCCACCTGATCTAGCCACCCTACGTCAACTCCAAAACAGATTTACGGCCAGCGTTTTGCTCGGGATACCCGGCGGGAAAATGCAATTTGTATCGATGAGTCAAAAGTTCTCTACGCTAGAAACGGTACCATTAAATCCTAAAAATAAACTCGTGAGTGGAAAGTTTCAGGGCTGTGGAGGAGGAAAATGGATGTAGTTGTATTGATTATTAAATCTTTTACAAGGTGTCTGGACTCTGTAAGGTAGTCGGCATGGTCAGAGATATGTTTGGGTCTATTTCTCAAAATAATATTTATTAGCCAAGTGGTGTTGTCTTCTTGGTTCTTTCGGTAAAGTCACGTAGAAGGGAAGTAATAAAATAATAAAAATAAAACATAATAAAATAATTCTCACGACGTTTCGGCTACAACGCAAGCAGCCGTCTTCAGGTGAAGAATGAGACACTGCCAAGCTAGGAGCTTAGTGTCTCATTCTTCTCATTCTTCACCTGAAGACGGCGGCTTGCGTTGTAGCCGAAACGTCGTGAGAATTATTTTATTATGTTTTATTATTTTATTACTTCCCTTCTACGTGACTTTAACGAAAAAACCAAGAAGATGAATCCCTGCAGTCACGAAAGCTTTAAATCGAAATTTAAGTGGTGTTGTATTTTTTTGGAGGAATCGCTCAGTTGATAGAGCAGGAAAGTCATGAACGTCTGGGCTCAATTCCTGTTCAGGGTTAATTGAGTGCATCATCATCATCATCATCCCTCTGGAGTCCCTAAGACTGCCCCCTTGATGGTTACTTTGAACTCCGGTCATCCTAAAAGCGGCTTTTGGCTCGCCATCCAACAAAGACGGTCACTGCATCGCACGCTTTCAGATGCGCTTCTGTGGCCGTCTGGAACACTCTTCTTTCCGATATTAGGAAGCCATTGGAGCTATGCATTTTTAGATAATCTAGATTGAAAACTCATTTATTTAGAACAGTTTTTTGTGTTTAGGTTGTTGTCCTTCCCGCGCACCTCCGATTAGCACGGTTGGCTACATACGGTGCGACAAAATTTCACCATACATACATACACCTTACATACATACACACACCTTACATACATACATACACACCTTACATACACACCTTAGCGGAGTGTGATCATCCTCTGGAGAGACTTTAGATCACCAGAAGAGAGTAGTAGTGCCCAATGCTTGTTTGAGCACGGGGACACTGCCTAACATTAAATCACCCAAAATGTTCCCACTCTCATCACATCTCAGAAGCCAATCAGGCTTGAGCCTGGTTAGTACTTGCATGAGAGACTATCTGGGCATACCAGATATTGTAGGATTGGTTTTGTGAGGTGCGCAGATGATGGTAGAATAGTAATTGGATTCTTCAATGTATTTGTGTGAAGCTTTGAGTGTTGCCTGCTCATATGCATTGGTTTTCCCCATGTTCTCTGTTTTCCTCCGCATAAGCCAAACACCCATTAATGGAATTGGCCAGCCTTTCCAATTCACGATCCCCCTGAGTGCTGAGACTTATTTGAGCATTTCATGGGTAAAGAGCATTATTATACTCACGACCACTCTCTAGAATAATAATAATAATGATGATTTACACTGGAAAGATAATAAGCTGAATGGGTCCCAATATGAGTATGGTTTTTTTATGATGTTTGTTGACTTTGACATACAGAGGAGCCTGAAATAAAGTGGCTCCATCATGCGTATGTGTAAGTTTCTCAGATTATATTGTTAACCATGCGAATAGAACTGGGGGGGGGATGGAACGGTGGCACAGTGGTTTACGTGGTGCGCTATACGTTCACGTTCATTTGTTCGTTTCTCAGTCCACTTGCCCTGTTGAGGGTCGCAGCGGTAGCATGTTGATATGGGCGGTCGAGACCTTCCTTTCCCTATTCATATTCTTAGGTTTTTTCGGTAAAGTCACGTAGGTAAAAAATTTTAATTAATAAAAGCAAAATAAAAATAAAATAAAAATCACGACGTTTCGGAGGCAACACAAGCTTCCGTCTTCAGGTGGAACCGTCACAGCACGATAGCTGTATCAAGTGAGAGAAATTCCAAGATTACCTTGTTATCTCGGCATCTCTTGAGGAAGGCCAGCGTCTCGAGAAGCTGTGACTTCTTGTCTCGTTGTCTGTTAAAAACTCTAACAGATAGGTGGAATTCCTCCCCGTAGAGGGTATTAATTCTAGATTTGAAGCTTTCGTGACTGCAAGGATTCATATTCTTAGGTTTTTTCGGTCAAGTCACGTAGAAGGGAAATAATAAAATAAATAAAAATAGAACATAATAAAATAATACAATTCTCCCTGGTGACAGACCCTAGCTGTTCCTGGGGAATTCCCAGGCGTTCCCATGCCATCCGAGCAACAGAGTCCCGCCAGGGTGTCCTGGGCCTGCCCTGGGGTCTTCGCCCCGTGGACCGAGTCCGATTGTCGACCGGGGTGAACGTCAGTGGCACACGATAGCTGAATAAGGCCTGGGCCTCCCATTCACCAATCTTGAACTGAGCTGTGTGGCGAAGTGCAGTCAAACAAACCCCTATCACAAAAGGGACGGGTTGGCCTTCATCCAGCAGTGGATTGACAAAAATATGTCATTCATTATTATCATTGTTATTATTATGGATGTAACTAAAACTTTAATTCTTTTTTCTGTTTAATTGAGAATATTGGTTGTATCTCATTCATTTTCGTCGACGTTTTTTGTTGTACGTAACTTTTCTTTTCAGAGGACGGTTGATATGTGTAAGCAGGCTTGACATTTTCCGAGAAATGTCACCATTAAAAAAAAACATTGAACTTTGAGGAGGAATTTTAAAAGCACTTTAGTGGGTAGCATTTGAACATTAATCAAAGTGGTGAGATGAGAATTAGTTGCAAGCACTTGTCCTGCTGCCATTTTAAAACAGACGAAAATTTTTTGACTGAATATTTAATTGAGTTTGTGAAAGAAAACGCCAGAGTTGTAAAACATTCCTGTCAAAGGCTCTCATCCTAATAAAAAAAAGAGGGGAAGAGCTCATAGGTTTATTTTTTTGTCACAGCATCAATACAATGTATTTTAGTTTGCCTTCATTACTATGATTAGAATTAGACGTTATACATACAGTAGACTCGATTATCCACGCTAATGGTGGGGTAGACAGCTGCGAATAATAAAAATGGCGGATAATAAAAAATATATATATACATTTTCCATGCATTTCTATATCGATGCGCGTGCTCAGTGACAAAACTTTCCTGCTTCCACGCAAAAGCATCGGCCCACTAAGTGAGTCGCAGAGCCACGCCCATCAAAATCAATCAAACTCCGCCCACTGTTGTAAAAATATGCAACTACTGTACTGCAGAGGCAGTCAAGTGGTTTTCAGATTAACTGGAGCACAATTTTGTTCGGATTGAGCACGTGACTTGTAATACACATTTCCAATAATAACTATATATAACTGTTTTTAGATTATTCATTTGGGATTAAGGGAAAATCGACGAGTTTTTAATGTGTGTAAAAATTTCAGGTGCGCGGTTAATCCACAAATCTGAATCTGATCAACCGCACGTGGATAATTGAGAGTCTACTATATATGTGATTCTTTCATTCACAATTAAACTAAATCTGCAAAGTCAAATCTTGGTAAGTGGATGGGTTGAAAAAATAGGGAATGTGATGTTTCCACCATCAGCTCGGGGTTTCCAGCGCATATTAAAGTTCACCAAATGTCTCATTTGACTGCAGAGGTTACGTGTGTTTGTCGTAAACCGAATACTCACTGGAGAAAAGGGTAGAGTTGACTGCCCAGTAAGGTTGTAACGATTTCCGTTTTCACGATTCAGCGTGGTGAGTGCCTCCTGTGGCTGAAGAGTTGTGAATTGGTCACTTAGCGTGTATGTGCACTGAAAAAAAAATTGGGGGGATTAACTTGTAATGTGTGACCTGGTAAAAGTTTAGTTTTTAGTGAACTTTTCCAGTTTTTACAGTATGTAGAGATAAACAAATTATGTATCCCTTTTAAAGTAACTCTTTAAGAGTTATTTTACCACGATAAAAAACTTGACTTTACAAGTCTTTGCATGCATTGTTTCTGTAAAATGTCTAGAGTGCCTGCAGAAACCGCCTAAGATACCCCCGTGCACAGTGAGTGTAGTATAATTTAAATATGTCAAGTATATTTTGTTTAAACAGGTAAGACCTCAAGCGACCAGGATAGTCTAATTTGCAAGAGTGACCTGGGGCATTATTCTTCCAGTTGGCAGAGATGATCACTATGTTGATTCTGAAGAGAGCACAGTACTTTGTGGTGTATTTTCGAATTTGACAATTTTGGACCCTGGAACCAGCATACAATGGACTCCTGTTGCGAATTACGTCAGAGGATCATTCACTTCCACTGTGTAGCAGGAGGGCACTCAGTATTACGATTATTGCACCCAGTATTAATCAGGGTGGCCACTATATTCGAACCGTTTCTTTTAGCAACAAAATCTACTTCTGTGGGTGTGTAATATTAAATTTTTGCCCAACTCTGAAAAACATACATACTTATACGTGTGACCCGATGCACGTCTTTTGTGCGTAAGAATGTTTTGAGGAATCGATATATTGTAACACCCCTAGCGTCTAAGTCGATAACTTAAACAACGACATCAACAACTGTAGAGCATGATTTGTGAATATAGATCAGACTCAGACTTTAATTATTTCAGCTCGGTGAGGTCCATTGAACCAAGCAGCTCTTTGTACAAGGACAGCAAGATTGATTAATGCTGTCGCAGCACCCATATTCCAAATGCTAAAAATTACCAACCACAATTTTTTTGTTTAATATGTAGGCTTGCGTGACTAATATCCATAATAGAGGTTTTTTTGGGTTAGATCACGTAAATATAAATGTGTCGTTAAACCTGCCACCACCCTGATACAGCCATTTAGTGAGGCTCTTGCCTGATAATGCAATTTGTAATTACTGTCGAAGCTTCGTACTCGAATTGTGGGTTTACTCTCCAACACACCGGTGTGCTGAACTAGTAACAAATTGTCACGTTAATAATTGGCTGCTGTCAGATGGTGGCGGGTTTTACAGCACATTTATATTCACGCGATCTAACCCAAAAAAAACTCTATTATGCACACATTTTTACGAAAAGTTAATAAGTTTGACATTTGTATCATCAGCCGCTTGCAACCAAAGGTGTTGTCTCGAAAATTGCTTGAACTTGCTTTCACAGTAATATAGGACGTAAATTAATGGAATGTATCGCTGCATTGTTAACCACTGAAGATGTGTTGTTAACGGTTTTGTTTGTGTGTTTTGTGTCCCACTAGTTGTTGGCTGTCTCTTGAGGGAGGCCTGCTTTATTCATTCGTTGGACCAGCTGCTGCTGTTGTCTTGGTAAAAACACAATATCCAAATGCTTTCACGTTGACTTAGATTCAATGCAACGGAACAAGATAACAGCGCCACACATTGAACTACCTCCGTGGGCTATATATATATATAAATATATAATTCCCGATCTTTTCGGGGGGGATTACATTTTTGATATTTACATAATGGTATAAATGTCACCAAAATATGAACGACTGTCATGCTGAGTGTATTCTTTGACAGTGCTGACCTTATGTTTTTAAGTATGCGTCATATTATTTTAGAGACGTCATCACGATTGCACCGTTGAAATCACACGGATGACATGTCGTTTACAACAAGTCCCAGTTCCTTAAAGTGGCTGCATTGCTTTATGTACACAATCCTTCCCCTTGATTGATTTTAGGGGCTATCAGACCTGTATGGATGAGCTTGCATGGATTTGTAAACGTAGCAAGTGAGGGTGATCTGGATTCCTGTTGTGTGTGTGTGTGTTTTTTTTGCTTTGTACAGGTCAACATGGTTTTGGGAATTCTGGTCTTTAACAAGCTCGTGTCCAAAGAAGGCATTCCTGATAAAGAGCTGAAACACAGGGCAGGGTGAGTACCCATCAACATTTGCACAGTTTAACACATAGTAGGCTTTTGTGACCAAGGTTTTTTTTAAATCCTTTATATTAAGTTCGCTTGCTTGCGCGCTTACGACCGTGCAAATCTTTCGGTCAGTTTTTTAACCCACTTCCCGTGATCCAATCGAGCTGACATTTTGCACACAGACTCGTTGTGCGTGACAATTTATTTTCGTGAAATTTTTTTTCCAAAATGTTACACTTTTTAGGAAAAAATTAATTATATTTAATTACCAATTGCTTAATGGTGGCAGGCAATCATCTGACCCATAGGTGGCAGCCATCTCAAGCCAGAGGAGGAGAGGACTCTAGCCGCCACGCATATAAAGGATTTATAGTGAAAAACTTAGTTTTTACGGGTAAATTTTTTTTGGGTTAGATCATGTAAATATACGACTCTGCTTGTCGCCTCATGATGCTAGTTGTAATTACCGGCAAAACGTCGTACTCGAATTGCCAGTGTTGTAAGTCTACTCTCCAACACACTGGTGTGCTGAACTAGTAAGAAATTTGAACGTTTTTTTTTTACGTGACAAACCTTCTAATTAGCTGTATCGGGTGGTGGCGCGTTTAATGACACACATATTTTCGCGATCTAACCTAAAAAAAACTATTGTGGCTAGCATTTGCAAAACGGTGTTGATGCTTAACACTGAACTTCAAACATCTCACTCCAGTTGCTGCAACAAGCTGGGGTGACATTGAGTGCCGCTCGCGTGTCGCTTGCAAGCCACCATGCTCTCGCTGGGTCACGTGAGACACATTTTGGTTAAAATACTCTGATGGTGCGGTCTGTTCTGCTAAAACGCTGCGTGTTTTCACAACGCGAATTGGATATGATGCGATGAACGTGTTAGGGAACATATTCTTATGTTTTGTCGGTAAAGTCACGTAGGTAAAAAATTTAAATTAATAGAAGTAAAATAAAATAAAAATGACGACGTTTCAGAGGCAACACAAGCTTCCGTCTTCAGGTGGAACCGTCACAGCACGCTTGCTGTATCAAGTACTTGACGGTTCCACCTGAAGACGGAAGCTTGTGTTGCCTCCGAAATGTCGTGATTTTTATTTAATTTTTATTTTATTTTACTTTTATATATTTGTATTTTTTACCTACGTGACTTTACCGAAAAACCGTAAAAATATGTGTTAGGGAACATTTTTTTTTCATAACGCGGATGCGAATTGGATATGACGCGATTGAGCAAATTTAACTACGTCGCGCGAGTAGAAATAAGCGGTGGTACGGCTGCATCGGCGTAGCATCGCACAAGGCGGGATGCTGTTGGATGCTTCCAGATGCTACCCACACGCCTCAGTCTTTGTTCAGCCTGCGTACGCATCTCACCCGTGTAATTACGGACTGTGCTTTACCCCTACATTATATATTATTCATTATAACACGATTTTTCCATAACGCGGTATTCTTCAGGAATGCAACTACCACGTTATATGAGAACAGACCGTAGCTTAATTCCATGAATGAATGAGCCTGTTGCAGAAAGACATTACAGCTGCATGATTTGTCAAATCAAGACAAACATGTCTCCCTACTCAAATGAGCAATTGGAGGATGTAGCTCCTATTCATTGACTAACCCGAGCCAGTGGGGGAAATTCCACGTTTCTCTATGGCATGGGCTAGTTTCCCTACGGAACTACCAATGTTGATATTATCATCCCTCGGAGAGAAGAATAGACAAGTTGACCTTTGATCAGGATTTCAACTTGTAAACCTCTAATTATGAGAATGTCAGAGGCGAGGACTGCCGTAGTGAGAGTAAGGAGAGATTGTAGTACCCTGGTTTATTTTAAAACCCACGGGAGGCTGGCTACTGATGGCGGGGGTAGAATTGGGGTTGAGCTCTCAATAGCTATTAAATACCCCACAAGGCCAGTATTCCTGATAGCCTCTTACACGAGCTGGATAGAGATGAACACGGTGAGACGACATCAAGGAAACACCACGAGAGTGTTGTGCTGAGAGGAAGTGCTGGCCCTCGGTTGACCCACTGACCTCTGACCCCAGAGCTGACACTGAAGAATAGAAGGACGATTGATCAGAGCACCACATCGCTGGATGCGATGTTGTCAGAGCAGCAATATCCACGCGGGACGGCGCACAACTGCGATGCAGCATTGCGGAGGCAAGCAACCGCTTCCACAACGTGTTATTTGGGTCTTTCGGTAAAGTCGCGTAGATAGGTTCAAAGAAAATAACGAAAAAATAACAAAAAACTACGGCGTTTCAATCGCAACACAAGCGATCGTCATCAGGAGGGAAAAAAACGTCGTCGTTTTTCGTTATTTTCTTTTAACCTATCTACGTGACTTTACCGAAAGACCCAAATAATATGAATTCCTGCAGTCACAAGAGCTTTAAGTCAAGACTTGCACACCAGCTGGGCTGCGTTGTGGTCGTGGTGGGGGGGACAGCAGTGCAGTGAAGACCAAATGCAGAAGCTCCCTGGCTTCGATCTTTGGCAAAGCCTCTGGGGGGCCACAACCCTATAACCGCATCCACTGCACAAACCCTGGCAGCACGTGAAGATGACTTGATGCGCATAATGGAAAATAAAATAAAATAAAAACTCTCCGGCAGCATGCAGCGGCTGTGGTCGCCCACAACAGAAGCATGGAGCATCGGACGACTCAATGCCATTTTCATGAATAAGGAGGCATACGGTGCGAAAGAAGCTCAACATACATACATACATCATAACGGCGATGCACCATTCCGCTCCTCCTGATGCAATTATTCGGCTCATCCACCTCAATGCAAAGTTGCAGCTGTTGCTCTACATCAACATCATCCATATGCAGAATATGGCTGAAGTACAGACGATAAATGAGTGCATAGCCAATGTATGCAGATCTTTGAGTGTCATCGACTGGTATTTCAGGGATTTCGCTGGGTCGTCTGGCTTCCTCCCACATCAAGAACACTTTTCGGGAAAACATTTTTAACCCACCTAATTAAAGGGCTTCTTAAAAAAGTTTTGAGATGAGGCTTCTCTGGATTTGTAAATAGACTAAAGAATAATATAAATAATTAACAAGCACATAGGTTATATTGCAAAAGGGAGCTGCAGTGAAATGAGGCCATCTGGTGTAGTCTTGGAGCGACGAATAGCCCAGGTTTTGTGCACAGATACACATTTCAGATACCTGGTACTAAGTGGTGCTTGGGGAGAAAATTGCCACAGAAATTCCCTTCCCCTGGTTTTATTAGACTGGGGAGAAAACCAGGACAGCACACTGTTGTATGTTCTGAATTCCCCTGGCAGAATATTGTATATCACAATGACATTCCAACTTGAAAGGGAAAAAAAAGTATCCGTGTCAAAGTAATCAGGAGTACTGCATAACATCAACGTTGCACTTGGGTGAGAATGCACGCTTTGCATGCGCTATGTGTGCAAAGTGCTTTTTGAATTTATTTCTTGAACAAATGTTCGTTATTTACATTGTCGTTACTGTGATTTTTGGCCATGCCAGACACTATTTCCTATAAATTAGAACAGTGTAGCCTATAAGGGAATAAATAGGCGGATGTTGTTTAAAGATATAAACATTGTCTTTGTAAATAACCCATTTTATGGGAGCTCATAGGCCACCTATCACTACGCTCAGGATATATTGTCTCCATCTGGCCATTCGTACATCTGAGGACACTTCACCTGTTTTAATGAAAACTACAAACCCCTGATTCAGCCTCTATGAAATATCTGACACAGCTTATCAATACCAATATCCTTCTCCGTGTAAGGGTCATGTAAGGACGCCTCAAATAAATTAATTAAAGAGACTGCGCTAGCTCAGCTGTTCGATGAGGAAGCAAGGGATTTGATGAAGGCGAGAGAGAGAAAGGGGCAGGATTGGAAGACAGTTGGGGAAGGCATGGTTTAGAAGGAACATTCCAGGAGGTTGGAGAAGAAACAGGGCAGAAGGAATACAACCGGGCCGTGACGTAAGCAATGGGGTCTTGGAGAGATGGTTCAGTGACAATTATCTGAACCGGTCCTGTGCCTCCCCAACATCGACTCAGCCTCAAATGAGTACCTGGTCAGGTTTGTGAACATCTCCACTTTGGAGACAGAAGGCCGTGGAGGGGTTAATGGCAGGAATGTTTGCAGGAAACTACCACATGGCCTCAGACAAACACAGATGGATCAATGTCTTGGCTACGGAAGCCTACGTTTTAAGTGATGCCGAACTGCTTTGAATCCGATCGCCGAACGAAAACACTGCTGTGGCATGAGGCCTTGCAGTGTTGTACATCGTTGCATTGCTGGGAAGTTCACGGAGCCCAGGCTCACGGACAGAAATAGTCACAGGACTCTGATCCTGTGTGGTCGATGGGGGCGCCTGGCATGCAGCGATAGGGCACCAGCAGGAACGCAGGGATTTGGGGCTACCTGGAGCCGGAGACATTTTTTAAAATTTAATGCCAAATTGTGTTCTTTTGAGGCTGTCAGCATCATCGTTTGTTTCATGTTCTGTAGGCCCAAGTTCAAATACAGCTGATGAATTTCATTAACCTTTTCGGAAATTCAGTTTCATATGTAAATGTTTATTATTATTCATATTTATACTTTTTGGGAGATAAATGCAGAATGTATACACAGCATATAGTTTTTTTTATTTTACCCAGGAAAGCGTGAGTCTGACGATCCCTTAGTAAGGAGATTATTACCTGCCATGTTTGGCCAATTGATTATTGAGCGTTTTGTACAGGGGAGGAAATGGGAGTGTACACTCTACGGAAACACAACAATGTTCTTGTACTAGCAATGCCTCCTCCTACTGACTACTCAACCGTCCATTTGAGTGTTTCGTGTTTGTTTGGTGTGTTCATGATCCAGCAACCTCACATCCGAAGCGTTGGGTTAGACATGTACTTCATTGTTAATGGGATTCCTTAAACTATTGCTCTGCTGGGTAGCCCTGTGGCCAAGTGAACTTGACTCAAAAAAAAGTATCGAGATCTCATCCCTTGGTCAGGAGTTGTCAGCCCATTGTGGTTGCTGAAATTACCACTACTTTTTTGGGAAGTCGACAGTAGTGGTGGTCACAGCCTCCGCTACATACGCAATGTATTTACATATGTTGAACTTCTTTCACACCACACGTAGCCAACCGTGCTAATCACAAGTCTCACCGTGCTAATCGCAAGTCACAGTAGCAAGAGGTGAATCAATAGGTCTTGATCAGAATTGGTTTTACCCTTTCTGGCAATAAAACAGGTGTTAAGATGTTAATACACCAAACAGAAACCTTTTGTAAGGAATCATGTCTGCATTTACCATGCATACCTGTGGTGAACATGCAAACAAAAACATGCTTTAGTGGTGTATGATGCATTGTCTTAGAAAATTATTGGTCCAAACCATAGACATCTTTCTTTCGAGCCTAGTCTCAAACAGTGTTAGACCAGAGCACCCCAAAAGGCGAACGTCACAAAGACAATGCATCTATTACCAGAGCATGTTTTTTGTTTGCATGTTCACCACAAGTACGTGTGGTAAATGCAGACATGATTCCTTGCAAAAGATTTCTGTTTGGTGTTTTAACATCTAACACCTCTTTTATTGCCAGAAAGGGTAAAACCTATTCTTAGATTTTGATACTGCCAAGAAAGATCCCATGAGGCATTGCTCAAATACCGGGGAAGTGCGCCCAACAGGGCACGTTTGGACGAGGTAAAGTGAGAGAGTGTAGAATCACACTCCTCTCATCATCCGTTCACTGCGGTGACTGGACGGTCGCAGTCGGGAGATGGTGCCAGAGCCAGTGCCGTAGCTAACATGTACCGTTTCCCCGTACCTCCGATAAAAGCACGGTTGGCTACGTACTGCGCAAAAGAAGTTCAACATACATGCATAATGGGAATGCGATCGGGGGAACTTAAAGCGTGGCGTTCCCACGGGGGCTTGCGGTGCTGCCGTGCTGGTGGTGAGACACCGTGGGGTTTTCCTTTGCCGAGCCATGCTGTGTGCTGTGCATGTGTGCTCAGTAGTGTAGTAGCGGTTAGCGCGCTGCGTGGCCAACACCAGTGTCGATTATCTGAACCGGTTCTGGGCCTTTTCCTAGGTAGACTCAGACACAAATGAGTACCTGGTGCAATGTGTAAACATCGCCACTGGGGAGGCAAAGGCGGCCGGGCATGGTGCAAGCCACCCACCCTCGTTTGACGTGCCGGCCTTCGTAAGTGCTACTCGCTCATAATACTTGCCTCAACAGTTTGCTAAGGCTATACGGGGGATCTTTGTCTTTGTGCCCACTCGCCAGGTCGTCGCTGTGGAGCTCGTGCGTGGTGTTGCCTCTCCTCGCCCTCACGTGGATGTCGGCCGTTTTGGCCATCACTGACCCCCGCTCAAGCCTCTTTCAGATCCTCTTCTCAGTCTTCGACTCCCTGCAGGGCTGCGTCATCTTCAGTGTTCACTGCATCCTCAAGAAAGAGGTGCGTGGCACCCAAATGTGATATTTTTTTATTCACTCGCAGATGGTTTTTTTTTTACGTTCATGGTATCGTTCTTGAAATCTAACGGAGTTGCATTGGTGGGACTAGCAAAATACAAATGTGGCTTTTTTTTTGATAAGAGAGCCTTTACCGATTCTTAACATGTTTTAAGGATGGTCCTATCTTGAAATGCTTGAGCACTTGCTTGAATTATTGTTTTTTGATTGAGTGCCCAGAGAAAACTCATAATACGAGGGATGAATGCACCTACTGCACACAGATCGGTCATTATACGACTTGCTGCAATGCCTTCTGCAGGTGGATCATTGCCCTAAAGATGAATGTCTCACTCAGTTGACGGCTCCATCTCCATGTGATTCACCCACGCAACCTCTCCCAGTGGGTTGGATTTACAGGCATATACGCCACCATCATCCGGCCAAATATCAAGAGCTATAATCTCATAATTCACTAGACAAACAAGGCCCTGCTGCTGTAGAAAATTAGCTGCGAGTCATACCAGTGTAAAATAAAAATGAAAAATGATTAGCCGTTGCTCATGGACATGAGTCATCGCTAACATATTTACTGATTTGCCGGGTTACAAGAATCAGAAGGTGCAGAGCGAGTTGGAAATTCAAATATCATTTGGCTTAGAATTAATTGCATCCGCTCAAAAGGAGGTGATATAAATTGAAGTTTATTGATGTATACATAATGTATACCAATTCTCATTGGAGAATGCCTCTACAACTCCAACAACAAAACAATTGTGTTTGAAAAATGTGTCGAGTATTATGCAGCATGCAAGTCAGATTTTTAAAATGTGTTTTTTTTTTGCATGCATGTTTTACGGCTAACTCCTGAAACAGTGTTTTCGCAAGTTTCTCCAAATCAGTGATTGTACAATTCTCAATCAGTTGATCGTCATTTTGCCGTCTTTTCAGGGTCCAACTCGCGCATGATAGAGAGCTCCTCTTTCTCCAGTATTTGTTAAAAAAAGTAAAAAAAATATATCTATCAAAAACACGTGCCCCCAGTTGTGTCCATCACCAACAAAGAAGCAAATTACCTTCGGTGATTTGTTTCCTACAGCATGTGAATCCGGGCCTCAAATGTCAACGTCCAACGTGAAGCATTCTGCAGAGTCAATACGGGACAACGAATTGGGTTATGGTGACCCCGATGGTGTGATGGTGTTGACTCATGACCACCTATTGTTTTACATCAACACTGTCCAAAAATCAATAATGCTTGGACAGGTGTGGGGATGAGTTCACGTGCCATGTCCCATCATCTCATGTCACAGTGATCAACAGCAGTGTGTTCGTGCCCTTTGTCCCCAAAGAGGGCATTTCGTTTTTGCATCACTTAGGAATCAGTGGTATAGATGAGTCTGCATTCTGTACGCTCTGTTTAGTAGGTTGATGCCCGTTCAGGACAGTGGAAACGGGGAGCGTATTTTTATTGTGACGGTTCTACGTGAGCACGTGTCCTCTCTGGAGTAGAAAAGAGCATAGCTGCAATAAGGAAATTGGCAGATTCCCTTTTTTAAAATACATGCCTGTTTAATGCATGTGCTGACCTTTATCTGAATACAAAATCTCACGTGTAGAATAATATAGGGGTTTCATTTTACATTTATAATCCGCCGAATTTTTTTTGGCATATATCTGTAAACCTGTTATCTTTTAAAAGTATCGCTGAAACATTTATCTTATGCTTTGTTTACATTCAAACGGGCTTCATTTTGACATCATAGATGGAGCCTGCAGAGACTACCAAACTGGATGTGCTACGTGCGGGGAATTGACCCGTTAACATAGAACCTTAATTTCACCACCGCATTGAAGAATGCACCCGCAGCAGTCGTTTTGCAATAAATGAATGCAAATTCGCAGATAGCTTCGCCGTTGACTTATTTATATGATTTTGCCGCACGTCCAGCTGAAGCGATTGCAACTTCCGCACGAGAAGAAAGTTAACCAAAGGAAATTGCGGTGGACGCGATGAAAGAATCTCACATACACCCACACAGCTATGAACAGGCTTACATATGCGTAGTCACACACCCAGCCAGCCAGTTGGAGATTTAAAATCGTGATTCATGGCTTAAAATGAATGCAGCAAAGGTCATCACCACCATAGCGCCCCACAGTAAAAAAAAATGAGTCTTTCTCCCTATTACCCCATAGGAATACTGTCTACCCTTAGAATTTGAAACTTGTGAAGACAAATAGGAGGAAAAGCCAAAAGCTTTGGGTTGCCGAGTGTCCGTGCGTGTGTGTGTGTGCAACGAAGCCTCGTGAATGCATGATTCGACGTTCCCTTAAAGCCCCCGGCGCACCGTAACGTTACAAAATTGTCCGTCACATTGCGTTGGATAAAAGTAAACGCGTTAACAACCTGAAGGCTAACGGAGCCGTGAATATTTCCAATCATGAAAAATGGTCCCCACTGAAATAATGCAGTAACTGAATGCACGCAAAGTTTTCACCCGCGAAACATAATTGAACCGCGTGTAAAAAAAAAAATGAACCTGCAAGCGATGCACATAGACCAGCTCTGTGTACCAGGCTTAACAATTTATTGTCATGAACCTGACGGCGAGGTCCGCATACAAATACAGTGGCAGCGTCGTGCACCGTCTTTGAGCTACCCCGTGCTCGGCAATGTAACAGCATCCAACCCAATGCTTTTGACGGCCCAGAGTGGACAAATGTTTTATCTTCCTCGAGAAACGTGTCTACCGTGCTCCAAAAAGTACCGTGATGTCTGCACAATGTGATTCTTGGCCATTTATATCAGCCTATGAAATACTCTCATTATGACGTGACGTAATCACCCGAATTACGCCAATGCTTGGAACCCCACGGCTTAGACTGTCAACCATTATCCCATAGTCTGTGCCAGTCCACTACCGCCTGGTCCTCACCTGCTTTCTTGGAGGTTTCACGAGAGTCGAGGCCCTGGTCCTGACCTGCTGCTCGGATGATTGGCTTTTTGTGGAGTTGGGCTTGGGACTCGAGTGTGGCAGAGAGGATGGATGTTGATGTCACAGGACCGCTGCTTGAGTACCCGTGTCGCGGCTGGCAAGAGGGGGCAATGTCACGTCAGAAGACAAATTGGCCGTCCCTGAAGCATTCCATTATGGCCGGTCGTGCATGGATGTCGGGTGAATCGGGGAGCTCCCCACGTGACGTTCCTTTGGCCTTTGCCTGTGACAAATCGCCTAAGGACGCGATGGCAGAAAATTTGTTGAGGCACAAATCACGGACAAATCAAATAAAAACTCTTCGGTGCCCCACATGCACTGTGGGTACGAAACAACGACAACTATCGGGAAGCGATCTCGCCGTTGTTCTGTGGCAAAGCAGAAAGCTAATTCTGTCCCTCCTCTGCCTCGGGATACGTGGAGCCCAGGCAGTCGGTGAGCAGCCACTCTGGGACGTGATGTAGTGTCGGGCTCAGGGCTAGACCTCGGTGCCCCTCAAGAAACCTTTTGGGAAATAGCTGACACTGCACGTGAGGAATGGACGACGACCAGATTATGGGAAAAAACGGTTGTGCATGTAAACCGCCAAGGGTCTGGGCAGTTATCCGTACCCGCCATTGTGCTAATGTCGCGCGTATTATAAAATTATAAAAAAAGGGAGAATGGCCAACTATTGCATTTATTTAGCCATCCCGATACTTTGTGGAGCACATATATTACATATTGGCTGTTTTTACAGGTGCAAAGCGCCATCAAATTTCGGATTACAGGACGACTGGAGCCCAGTGAGCCCTGCAGCTATTTCCAAAATGGCCATGCGCAAATAATGGTGAGACCCAGTATTCTATCATCACGGCAAAGCAAACAAAACAAAAAATATGGCCAAAAAATATTTACGTATCATTCCATTATCCCAAACCACAGAAATAATTATAATCTTAACAATGTTAAAGCTTTCTTTAAATGCAATTTATGGTTTTGTGTCTTGCAGCGTAGCAAAATTGATGTTCTGCACAAATTGATATATGCTCGCAATTGTAAAACAAAGGAGGTTAAAATTGCCCCTACAGTTCAATATGACACCCGTGATGTGCTGGGTGTTTTAAATGTAATATGATGCTTAAAATAAATTCAATAGGTGGCTGGTCCACAGGAAGAATTAGTGTTTGTTTTCTGTTTGCGTTCACCACATGGATCGCTCTAACGATGTACATAATTTACACATACACATTTACATAAGCGCGCATGCAGAAATATTACACGATTTACATGCTGTGTGTATTGTACATTTTCACGTAGGCCGTCTCATTTACTCCGAGGTTATTCCACATCCACAAATGTTTACGGCCATTTAACTTAATTTCATTTTTGCAATGCGATCACACGCGCGCGCGTTCGCAATTGTTGAGGGTAATCGAGCGCTCTTCTGAGTTCTACGTCGACGTTTGGTTTGATTTTGACCGTTGCAAATTTGTTACAGACAGACTTTGAAAAGGACGTTGATCTCGCTTGCCGCTCAGGTACCGTGACAACTGTTTGCCTCTTTGCTGCATCATCCCGCGTAGAATGATAAATGAAAACTATATCCGTAATTAAATCATTGCAAAACAAATATGGCCTCGGGCGATTTAAAGCAAAGTAATTGTGTTTAACTCTTTCAGTGTTTTCAATACCTTGCAGCCAATATACGTATGTGTGAAATAATTGCAGTTTAAATAATTTGCTCTTTTTAAGTAATGGCTTTCATTTGTATGCATATATCGACTATTTATGTCTAGCGTGGGAATTCTGTTTTAAAATAGCTGCGTGAAAATTATATCTTTCATTTTCAAAATGTCATGTTTTCACAAATGACGTGTTTTTTAATGAATCACATATTGTACCTCAGTTGCCAGAAAAGCCACCCTAATGCGATCAAGCGCCTTGTGTCTTAGCATTGCATAGAATATCCTAGAGGCTACATGCCAGTGGTGTAACAATGTCCCGAATCATTGACTAGTGTTCATTCTTAACTTCACGATAAATACATCGAATTGCAAGCATAAGAATTTATGTTTTAGGTGTGTGTATATGTTTGATGAGGGGTCAGTGCAGTGGTTAGCGCGCTGCGCTACAAACCCAACAACCAGAAATCGAGTCCCGCTCATGGCCAACACCTGTGACGATTATCTGAACTGATATTGAGCCTCCTCTAGGTTGACTTAGCCTCAAATTAGTATCTGGTGCGGCGTGTAAATATGGCTACTGGGGAAACAAAGGCGGCCGGGTGTGGTGCTGGCCACCCAACCCCTCGTGTGCCATGCTGTCCTTCATAGGTGGTCGCTAAGAGGACTTGTTCCAACAATCTGTCGAGGCTATACAGGAGATCTGTCATACATTGTATGAAATCGGGTGACGTCACCCCCGTAGCCACCGGAAGTACCCCCACCCACCGTAGTGTTAAAAAAGAGAATCGATTCTTGATTAGAATTATAACCCCGAATCGTCAAACTTCCTTGAATCGCTGAATTTTGTAATTATAACCCGATTATATAGAAATACAGACGATATGCATACGGTGCTGTGGGAAATCAAACTGAATATTTTAAGTTCACGTAATAAGTTCACTGCAATAATATAACCATCGGTGTATTTCCGTGCTAAGCTTTGTGACTGGAATACAAATGTGGTTTTTCAAAGATCCCTATCATTAGCCTGGTTCTATTCGTTCCAATTCTATATCTTTCAAAACAAATCGCTCACTATTCTGCATACTAGTGTGTGTGCGTGCTTATTTTTTTACGTAATTTTATTGCTATAAATTCCACCACATCTAAATAATAATTGAAAAATATCGGTGTGTTTTGACCACAACTTTAAATCAAACCTACAGATGCCGCAGATCTTGCAGACTGTGAATAGCTCCCGGTTAGATTATAGGTGAGTGCCATGGTTATAGTCAAGGAGTATAAAAATAGAACGTAATGGCACATTCAGTAGAAGTGCCATTGTTATAGCGAGTGGCTCAATATCAGGACATTTCAGTTCAATGTGTGGCAGAGCAAGAGCAAATTGAGTTGTGCTATTGCCACATTACAGACCCAGAATGGGTGCGCTGATCGTGCGCAAAAACGTTCTGGTGCTGTGAGAGCACACAAAAAATAACAAGATAAAAAAATAAAATTACCCGTGTATAATGCATATTGTTTGGGGAATTATAACCGTGAATGTTTCCAACAGCATTTATTCCATTGCGTTTATTCCAGTGTTACATCAGAAAGACATAAAACCCTCTCGGTCCTCCACAGTCGCGAGCACCCTATCGCGCACCTCCGCACCGGACAACGACGCCAACAATGAGCAAACGGAGATGCAGCCCTGCCTGGGCCAGACGCGTCTGCCAGGCAGCTCCGCAAACGAAATCCCCATGCACCCAGTCACGCAGATCCACATGAGCACCATGTCCACGCTGCCTCGATTCCAGGAGTCCTCCTCAGTCGTGCGATTCCAGGACTCGGCAGCGACACTGCCGCGCTTCCAAGACTCCGCCGGTCAGATGCTTCACGTGCACGAGCACGTGAACTCACGCGGCGTTCCGGACCACGGCCCCCACGGCCAGCGCTTCCAAGAGAGCAGCGCCACCATGCCAAGGTTTCAGACGTCGGGGGCGGCGATGTCCTCCTCGAGATACCAGGATGGCGGTGCTCGCGTCGTGGGATTTCAGGATCCCATCTCGCAGATCTCGGGGCAGCAGGTGGTCGGCGGTTACGGAGGGTTCGGCGAGCGTGTGAGGCTCGGGCAAGAAAGCGGTAGCGGCGGTGGAAATGGCCACCGGGCCAATTTTGGCCTCCCGTTTGGAGGCGGTGGTGGCGGTGGCGGCGGCGGCGGCGACAGATTCAGCCGCACGGACAGTGATCTGCTGCGTGCGCAAGAGCGGGCTCTCGAGAAGGACTACATCGTCCTGCAGAGTAGCCTCAAGGAGGGCAAGGGTGGCACGTTGGACGGGCGACAGTCGGATGGTGGGGGCGGCTTGGGGTACGGTGCGCGGGGAGGGGGCGGTGGTGGTGGTGGTGCGTCTACGGGGCCGCGGATGGGGCTGCAGTCCCGGAGAACGATGATCAAGCCCGGCCAGCGGGGAAACAACGCGTCCAACACCTTAACGAGTCTGCCGGAGTTTGACAAGGGAGTGATACGGCAGCTGCTCAACAGCGAGTCGGGATCCACCACTTCGGTCAACTCGCTCGATGTAGGTCTTAGACCCAACCCCGATCAAGCGCTGCCCAATTGCAATGAATGGGTCTCGTTTTCAGATGACCCACAGATGGTTTATCAAATGGAGGCACAAGCGGCTTCAACGTGTGACCAAATGACACTGAACGTACCAAGTCTTGTCAGATCTCGGAAGCTAAGCGGGGGTGTAATTGCTAAGTCATTGGATGGGAGGCTGCTTGGAATATATTGGGTGTTGTAGGTTTGGGCTGTAAATTGGCCGAGAGATGTTATTTCCCTCATATGCGTGAGCTTTTTCTGGTTTCCCTGCATTGACCAAACATGCAAATGCTGCAGGACCTTACAAAAATGTACTCGAGACACGATAGAGCTTTCCTAGTTAATTAAATGACGAAAATTAGAATTATATTTCGTGGGCCAGATGAGGATCGCATTGTTCCATATACTCAATATTTCCTTTTAAAGCATTGCATGTTCCGGTTGTTAGGGTGATTGGCTTGGAAAAAATAGACGAGCAAAGGCTATGTATGAGTTGAGTATTGTGCCTTTGTATGCATAGGAATTTCCAGCTACTCTAGTTTCCTCCAATATTAAGCCAATCAGTCATTTATGGAATTGGCCAAACATCCCGAGAAAATGTTAAAACTAAATGAGGCCTTCCTGGAGAAATTATTATTATGATTATGGTTATAATAATTAACTGAAAAAAGACAAATGAACATAATGATGGATCCATACCTTTCTTGCTGCCTGCTAAAGTGGTAACCTCCGATTGGCTTAACTTGAAATCAATTGCTAGCCATCTTAGTCTAACGCGAACTTCTCTGTCTGTACAGCAACCTGAACAATAAATATTACCGGCAGACTTTTATATGTATCTGACAGTACTGTGTGGGCAGGGTTGGTCATACTTTCCTCCCATTGATGTCCAATGATAGTCTTAGTGTAATGTATAATGGCTGCATGGCTGTAGATATTGGAACAGCAGTTGTCTCAATGATAGACTGGCTCATGCCATGGCAATGTGGAATTTCTACCCGTTGCTCGTGTGAGCAGAGAAAAGTGTAGGGCTCGTCTCCAATAATCCTTCTGCAGTACATCAATGTGCAGACATTTTATCAATCCACTGCTGGATGAGGGCTTCCCCCCCCACCCCTATGGGGTTATTTGACCATACTTCACCACGCTTGGTCATTGAGGATTCATGAAGGCGGGGAGCATAGACGTTGCATAATAGTACAGTACAGCATTGGATATGTATGCATTGCCCTATGCTTAAAACAGCCCCGCAGTCACAGCCTACAGCACCGGTTGTGCACGGTGGTGGTTGCCCATCCAAGCGCACTCTCCATGCTCATACCTGCTTAGCTTGTGAGGTCTGATGAGACAGGGTGCATTCCGGGTGATTTGTTCGTAGGCGTGCCAAACATACTTTATATTTAATATAATATCCTTTGACAAGTGCAGGTCTTACGCTTTAATGAACGCTGACCGCAAATATAATTAGAATTCATTAATGTACCACCTGAAAATGATTATAACAAAAAAAGCATACTTTTGATAATAATTGTTATATTTGTCTTAACTTATTTATCGCATTCGAGAAAATGAGCATAATAAGTGACTTGCTATTTTGCCATTTTATTTCAGAGACGAAAAGCAAAATATTCTGAGCTAGATTTCCAGGTAAGCGCAATTGTAGTTTTTTCACAAAATGTTTTACACAGCATAGATTGTTAAGTGTATATGTGATCATTGATTAACTGGACATTCTATTTTGATTTAAAGCTTTCGTGACTGCAGGGATTCATCTTCTTGGTTCTTTCGGTAAAGTCACGTAGAAGGGAAATAATAAAATAATAAAAATGCAACATAATAAAATACAATTCTCACGACGCTGTCTTTCCGACAGACCTGTTCTTCACCTGAGGACGGCTGCTTGCGTTGTGGCCGAAACGTCGTGAGAATTGTATTTTATTATGTTTTATTTTTATTATTTTATTATTTCCCTTCTACGTGACTTTACCGAAAGAACCAAGAAGATGGACATTCTATATTTTTGGTGAAACACTTGACCTCTCAACTTTGGTCCCTTTAAATATCTCTACAATCATCTGACTAGGGGGCTCTCCACTCAGACTGCTCGATTTAAAATCAGAAAGTTTGCGGGTTAAAACCCTGGTGGGGAATCAACTCAGCCGTGGGACTCAACAGAATGCATGCCAATGTGTGGTCAGTCAACAGTGGCCCATACGAGGAGAGACTGATCCCAGCCGTGAAAATTTAGAATTTCCACTGCTGGGTCATGCCCCCCCCCCCATGCTCATTCTGGCTGTGTGAAGCACGTTGCAATAACAGGGACAGCATTCGTGCATATTCGTCATGGACACAAGTGATCATGGCAAAGAACATCCCTGTGTCCAATGTGAACAGTGAATTCCTCACGTTGGCCCAGTCTCTTAGATAATCTGTCAAAAGAAATGGATAATTATAAACCTTGACACTCACGCATTTGAGGGTTTAGACCACCTTCCTTGGATAAGCTTGAGTGATGTGCAGAAGCCTATTCATCTTTTTTTTTGTTTTGCTTCTTTTGAAATTTTTCCAGTTCTCTTTTAGCAGCAAAACAGAACGTAACTTTCCCCACCCTCCCCCCCCCCATCATTAAAATCCCACAAGCATCACAGCAACCACCTCATCACCTTACAGCTCCAGAAAAAAAGAAATTGCGGAACTTTTCCCAAAGAATCAGTTCACAGATCTCTGCAGCACTTCCCACAACAACATTCACTGCATTTACTCCTGCAGGTTGTTTCTCATCCGATTAACATTCACTTGAGGTATGCGGCTGTATTTTGATCCAGCATTAGCACAATTATTAAGTTCCTGTATTAATTACAGGCAGAGCAAGTTGCCATCAAATAGGTAGTGTTCCTTGGGTGTTTACGTGTCCATGCCATCATCATGGCCTGTGAAATGAAGCGGAGTGTTATGGAAAATGAGAAAATGAGAACATGTTTTACCCTTTCTGGCAATAAAATTGGTCTTAAGATCTTCTTGGTTCTTTCGGTAAAGTCACGTAGAAGGGAAATAATAAAAGAATAAAAATAAAACATAATAAAATAATTCTCACGACGTTTCGGCCACAACGCAGGCAGCCGTCCTCAGGTGAAGAACAGGTCTGTCGAAAAGACAGTGTTTTTCACCTGAGGACGGCTGCTTGCGTTGTGGCCGAAACGTCGTGAGAATTATTTTATTATGTTTTATTTTTATTATTTTATTATTTCCCTTCTACGTGACTTTACCGAAAGAACCAAGAAGATGAATCCCTGCAGTCACGAAAGCTTTAAATCGAAATGGTGTTAAGATGTTGAAACACCAAATAGAAACCCTTTTGCAAGGAATCAAGCTTGCATTGACCACACGTACTTGTGGTGAACATGCAAACAAATATGCTCTGATAATACATGGCATTGTCTTTGTACTGTTCATCTTTTGGCGTTCTCTGATCTGACACTGGTGAGACTAGGCCCTAAAGAAGGCTGTCTCTGGTGTAAACCCATCAGTTTCAAAGACAATCAGATCATGTTTGATACTGGCAAAAAGGTCCAAATGCATGACTTGAAATCACGCCTCTATGAACCCAAAAGTCATATTCCACTCAGAAGACAAATCAGCCACTTGAAGAACCCGTAGATAGTTTCTTGTTGTCCTTCCCCCGCACACTCCGATTAGCGTGGTCGCCTATGTACGGCGGAAGAAGTTCGACGTACACTTACGTACGTACAGATACACTGAGAGACAACCATTCATTTTGATTCTCTCCTTGGAAAATTGTAACTGCCAAGGTCATGCGTTCATGCCGTTAGCGCAGCGGTGCATTGTACCCCTTGATATATGTTCCACTTTCACTCCGCACAAGCTACACGTCTTAAGGGTTTTGGCTTCCGTTATTGATATCGCTTTTTCCCCATTTTTAAATCCTTAAACATTTCGCTACATTAATGTTCATCAAGTCAATTTTGAATAAAATCTCCGGTAACCTTTACATTACTGTACAAACTGTGCTCATTAGTCTAATGTCCTTATTCTGAGTTGTTTTATTAGCGGCAGCTTAACAGAATAGTACGCAGCTCTATTGCGGAAAAGGCTTAGAAACCGTGTTGCTTCATTAAGAACAATTTTTGTTTTAAACTTGTAACGTATCCTGTGGGCACAATTACACAAAATAAAGCTTAAACAAGCCAGCTGCTCACCGCTCAAGCGTGCGGTTTTGAAACGCCGTTCTGCTCACATGTAGGTTAACGCAACGAGAGAGAGAGAGGTCGCTTCCGTGCAAACGCACACAGAATGAGGCATTTGTCAATTCTAAAGTTTTAATGAGCATTCCGCTGTCCTTCAAGGGTGAATTCATTCAGCGGTCGGTCACAGATATGTTGTAAAGCATTTACCAAGTTCGCTCATGAAGAGGGGAGTTTGAGTCAAAAGCGCGTGATACCTTGGCTTTGGAAAGACGAGGTGAAGGGCGAGACGCAATGGCCATTGCCGTTGATGCCATCGCACCTCATCATCACTTTCTTCCCTCAAATAGATCAGACAGCTGTTGCACAGTTGACACCTGACTTCCAAGGGCAACTGGTCGTTATCTCCCCCATCTGGATTTAAGTGTTTCTCTATATTGCTGTACTCCAGAAGTCAGGTCTGTAAATGACAAGAAATCCCATCCGAATAATAAAAAAAGTCGCTGCAGGCTGGAAACCCCCATGGTTTTTTCCAACATCACAGAAACTTGTACAAAAAGCACTCAGCCTCGTGCATTCTGCAAAAAACCATAAACGGGTCCTGCTTTGTGGCCCTCTTGTCTTCTGTCACCATCTAAGAGCTTTGAGCAAATGTGACCATCTGACAGGCAGGAGTGAGACGCATTTCTTTATATATACTTGAATTGTACTTGTGTGCATGTTTTTTGTGTATATACCTTAACTTTATCATGGGGCCTCCTTTGCCAGTACCAAAATATGATAAGAGGGTTTTCCCCTTTTTTTCACCCTTTATTCTGGCAACAAAACAGGTGTTAAGATGTTAAAACACCAAACCTCTGGTCTAACACCATTTGAGACTAGGCTCGAAAGAAAGCTGTCTCTGGTGTGGACCAATCAGTTTCAAAGACAATGCATATATTATCAGAGTATGTTTTTAGTTTGCATTCTGACCACAAGTATTGCGGTTAATGCAGACATGATTCCTTGTAAAAGGTTTCAGTTTGGTGTTTTAACATCTTAACACCTGTTTTGTTGCCAGAAAAAAGGGGAAAACCTATTCTCATACCTTAACTTTGCTTATGTTGTGCTTTTTGTTTGTACAGTATACTGTTGATTATCCTAATGCGGTTTATCCGATTTATGGATTTACCACGCACCTGAGATTTTGACATAATGTAATAACTCATGGTTTCTATAAAGCCCAAATTAATAATCTAAAAACAGTAATACATTGTTATTTTTAAAAATGCCCATTACAAGTCACGCACTTAAACCGAAATCCACTTGATCGCCTCTACAGTACAGTAGTTGCATATCTTGACAAAAGTGGGTGGAGTTTGATGTTGATGGGCGTGGCTCAGCTATCCACTTAGCGGGCAGAGTCTTATGCGCGGGAGCAGGAAAGTGTTATCACTGAGCACGCGCATAGATCGGTCGATCGTTCGTTTTTGGCATAGAGATCCACGGATAATGGTTATATTTTTGGAATATCCGCGATTTTGAATAATCCGCGGCCGTCCTCCCTGTCATTAGCGCGGATAATCTTGTCTACTGTACTTCGCTTGTGCGTGTGAGTTTTGTTCGTATACACTTTAACTTCGCTTGTGGCTTTTGGCCTTTTTTGCAGAAAATCATGCACACGAGAAAGAGGCACCATGAGATGTTTCATGAGATGAGCCAAAAATTCCCAACTTTGGATCGACATTGGCAGTCACCTGCAGATAGCCTGAAGGTGAGCGAACAGAGCTGTCGGCACAACATTCTTATCCATTGCACTTCTTGCACTCAAGTATCGGCATCTCATGAGATATGTTTTGTGACCGTGGGGTTGGGCGGCTAAAATAAAATGTCAGTGTCGGAGCACTGACCCGGGACCACTGAGCACCTGAGTTCAAATCTTGGAAGTTATGCGAGGGTTACATTTCCCTCTCCACGTGTGGTGATTTTGTTGATTGCAACTCAGCCCCAAACAAAGACACAAAGGACATGGTTATGTCTTGCGTACACAAGCATTGAGTGGTGCTCATCTCCATAACACCAGTTCTGAACTATTTAATGGAATTTACATTTTCTGTGATGGCACGGGCAAGTCGATTGATAAGACAACCACAATTGACTCACCCAGAATGCTCAAGTCGATTAATGAAACCCCTTACCAAGATTTGAAGTCACCAGACTCTGATTACGGGGCATGGACTCTTGACCATCAACTTTGCACACAAATAAAACGAAGAAAAGCACCACGTCAAATGTGCGGTTTGTTTTCCACGTCATTTAACATGATTTAGCTCTGCATGAGTTGAGCCAATATTAAACTCACTTCACAGATAGTTCTGTAGCATCTTCCATGACTTTTTTTCTATACATACTGTATGTTGAATTTCTTTTGCACCATACGTAGTCAATCGTGATAATCGGGAGTGCTGGGAAAGGATAACAAACTAAACACAATAAAAGCAGTTTTAAAGAAATGAGTTGTCAATCTAAGGGGTTGTCCATAAATGACGTCACGCACCTAAGCGGGGGGGGGGGGGGGGCAGACATTTGTGACGATGTGTGACGAGGGGGGGGGGGTTTGAAATGTGACGTCACATCAGAATGCGCAACTTTAAATAAATATAGACAACACGTTCTACTTAATTAATTAGACCTTTTAACAAATGTTTTCTCAACATCAGAGTGCAGCGCCACATTAAATACGCACTACAATGACAATAGTTTAAAGCGATTTGAAGCATGTTTTTTTTTTGGGGGGGGGGGCAGAGGTTTGTGACGTCATATTTGAGGGGGGGGTCTGCCTTTTTGTGACGTCGTGTGACGAAGGGGGTTGGGGTTCAAAAATCGTCCAAAATCGTGTGACGTCATTTATGGACAGCCCCTAAATTTGAAAGTGCACAGCTCCAGCGGCTTCCTAATATCGGAAGGAAGAGCGTTCCAGACGGCCGCAGAAGCGAATCTGAAAGTGCGCGATGCATTGGCCATCTTTGTTCGATGGCTAACCAAAAGCCATGCGATGTTGACTGGAATTCGCGTGATGATTTATGCGCCTTTTAATGCTCCTCTGATTGTAGGAGTTTCAAAAGGGCGATATTTCTCTGCCGCAAATTTGTTTTGCAACCGATGATAAATTGCCCAAACGCAGTTATAAAAAGGTGCGGGCTATTCCCCTATTCGGCACCTTACTAACTCGTGCAGTCAAAGATGTTCTGATCACGCTCAGGATGGTTCTGGTCACAAATACCACTCTTTAACAACTTTCGATTTAAAGCTTTCGTGACTGCTATGTTGGGTTTGTCTATGGCAGTATATAGTACGGGGTAGACCCGTGTGATGTAAGAGAAAAAAGTTTAGCTGGAGGCATGTTATATTTTTTGCGACATAGAATTGTAATGTATGACTTACTGTTAGTAGCTCAGCTTATTGGAGAGTATATTTAGTATATTGATGATACTGATGTAGTTTATATTTTAGTTTTTACGTGGTGGTTTAACTGCTGCAGCTCCATACTATTAACATTCCTTCCCTTTATTACTGCTAACCCTACTCCCTCCCTTTGATGTTGCTAATCCTGCATAATGCACGGGCATATGACTTTGAAACCCCCCCCCCACCTCCTACGCATTCCACAAGTAGTGACTAATCCCATATCTGCATTTTCCATAAATATGATAAATTCCTCTTGATATGCAAATTCCTTTGTCAAGGCGCTCTTCCCCCTCCAACCCAGCTCTTTAACAACTGTAAGAGTGAAAAAAGGGGAACGCCCACAAAGTAACAGCTGACGACAACGCAGGCCAAAGCTCTGCCCCCTCACTCTTCAAATTGGCGGGGGGGGGGAAATATCCCCTCCGCCGTTACCAATGCCAGACTCAAATGTTTAAGTTCTCTACAGAGGCGTTCGCTATTTCTCCACGTATTTACTGGCGGGGTACTTTTTTTTTTTACGGTGTCCCTGTTACGAATTGTGGTCACGTGAGTATCCGCGCCGTTCGTTAAAACTGCCACGAGCGAGCAAAGAAAGAGCTCCTTCTTTGTGAAGGCCGGCACTCAGATGTGATATGAAACTTTGATATCCACGTTTTACTACCCGGCTTCGCCCGAGACTTGGATTTTTGTCTTGGATTAATACACGGCCTATGCGGAGGGTTTGGGGGTGGGGGGGATGCGTGATGTCACCAGGCACCCTGCGTGACGCTGCCGCATGCGGGTGACATCACAGATGTGACATCACAGATGTGACGTCACCACTCACTTACCGTGCAAAATAATCCATTATTCCGCCCCCCAAAATACAAAAGTCTATTTATATACTTGTTTGCATTGTGTACCGTCTGGAAGCTACCCACATGCCACATTTCAAGTTAGTTGCATGTCGGGAAGTATGCTAAACATTTCGAACAGACACACATTCACAAATTTCCCTTTTATATGAATAGATAATCAGTGGGCAACTGACAAGGACACTTTTTTTAGTCGGAATAAATCTGCACTTTGACTAAAGTATACTGAATAACAACACAAGACCGGTGCTCGCGAAATCACAAAGTGTTGATAGCTCTTTAGTTGTCCGCACCTCGGATTGGCACGGTTTGGCTACATACGGTGCGAAAGAAGTTTTAAAATACAGTACATAAATACATATAGCCTTGGGCTTTGCGAAGTGTTTTACCTTCGTGAAAAAAAACATTCATACGGGGGTCAGAGTGCAACATTGTCGCAAAAGTTATTTGGCCTGATTTAATCAACCGCACATTGAACACAGTGCAGATGGGCCACTTGAACAGCCACGGCTGGTTAAATTCTAGCGATCGCATGAACGTTTCTCAACACCGCCATTCCCTGATATGTAACCACTGCAGTGACATAACACTTGCTGACGTGTGAGATAAACCACCAAGGTGTGCGAGTGCCTTGACAGTTTCATTTTTGGGCAGTTTTCTTTTTGGGGGAAAAAGTTAAACCTCAAAAAGAGACCTTTGAACAGTTGTTTGCTTCAAACTTTTTCCCGTTGCGCTCGCGCATGCCCAAGTTGTTTTTAAGCCACACCAAAGGAAGGTTTTCTTGCTAATTAGTCAAGTGTAAATGAGAATGGCCGAACATTAATAAACCTTTCCTCGTCAATAATCTGGCGTGCAATTTTAATTACAATCCAACCATCGACGGGGATTTTAAAACAATTTTGTCATGAAATGCCCGGCCCTCATACGGATTTACGGCATATTGAATTGAGAAGTTCACGTTGCCCAGCGGAGTGGCCAAGACTTTTATTAACTTATCTAGCATGCCGCAAATTCAAGACGGATTTACCAACGTGCACATTCACGAGCCAGCTTAACCTTTGTCGATAATGAACGTACGCTTGCATAAGTGGCACAGACCTCAATCCCGTAGAGATCTGTCAGGAGAATTTCCATCTCAGAGTGCCCCTTAAGACCACTTACTAAACCTTTCACGTCACATATTGGGCTGAAAGATACGCATTGTTTTGGTTGTCATTTGTTTTGGCCAAGTAATATCCCTGCACATTCCTTGTAATAGTTTTTCTTCTTCTGACAACTGGTATTTAGTTAAGTTGGTAGTCATTATCATGCCCTTTATAACTTTTTTCAGGATGGTCCTACACTGGAATGCTTGGCCAGTTCCATTATTGAGTTTTTGGCGTGTTGATTAAAACTGGAGAACCAAGAGAAATCCAACAAAACTAAAGGGATAAAATTCAAAGCTCTGCACAGATGGATTTATTACACTTGCTCTACCACCTCCTGGTGATCAGAATATTTATACTGGAGGAATCTGATGACATATAAAGCTCCTTTTCACAGATGTCCATTACTCATAGCTCAGTCGAGTTGAGAGTTTCACAAAACACTACATGAACCACCAACCCTCAACTAAAAAGTGTTGCAATGGCAGGCATTCACCACTGTGTCCGGCTGATCGTTTATCAGGGTTCCCATCAATAAGGTCGTCCGTTCAAGTTCTAGGTAGTGCTGTCTTACGCCAATCACTCCTTCAGGGTTTGTAAAATAAGCAACACCATATGAGACTGCATATTTTGGTGGGAGATCAACAGGTGCTGTCTGATAGAGAGACTGGTCCCAAATTGTGGGCGTTTAGAATTCCCACCACTGGTCCCTCACCATCCAGAATCAACTCTGGGGATGAGAACTTCCCAATGTTCATTTGAGAATGGAAATATCGATCTATTTTTGTGGTTCCTAGCTCTCTTCGTCCATACATCTCTTTTAATAATTGCATTTTTATTTGGTTTCTGTCTTCCATGAAGTCCATAAATATCCCTGCCTTGCAAGTCGTCTGTCTCTTGCTTGCCTGTTGGCACATACATGGACCGACAGAGTCTATCTCATAGGTGTCTATACATCTACCAACACATATATCCACACATTCATGCACACGAATGCAGCACACATTTTGTTAAAGCAAAATACAATTAAACGGTGTTTAGTCACAGTGGTGCTTATGCCACATCAACGTGGCAGGGGCCAGTGTCTCCACAGAACAACCAATGTGGACTTCCTCCAAAGTGGTGCTCATTGTATCGAATCCCAGGGCGGGGGTGGGCGGTGAGCAGTGCCGGATTATCGTAGTAGCAAAAGTAGCTACATGTGTAGCCACAAGCCCCGCACTTTCAAGGGCCCCGCACGAAATGCTTTCAAGCTATCAATTCCGGTTCAGTGATTCTGCACTTGCTCTTACTATAGTACTATACTGCCTTCAACTTTTATGAACGACTGGGTGTTTAATGTTAGCGATTTGTCGTATTATCTGGCTGTATAGCAAATTAAAAATTGCAATTACTTTACGATGCAAGTTAAAAAATTGTGTTTTAATATTTACGTTTTTTTTATTTCGTGCCCCCTTTATAACATACACTACAGGCCCCGCACTAGCTTAATCCGGCACTGGAGGTGGGGCAATTATCTGATGAATTTATCCCCAGCTGAGATTTCAATTCGCAACATTCCCATTGTGAGTTGAGTATTCTGCTACGCTGTTGCGTGGCTTGACAAACGTATCTAGCAGCGCTATAATATAATTTGACCGGTCGCACCAAAATTGTTTTGTCAAAGGAGTCTGGCTGGCAGTATCTGGAAGTGGAGCCCCACCTGAATGTACCCTCTTGATGAGCATCATTACTGGCAGGCTCTATAGCTGGAATGAAAATGTTCTTGGGCAGGGAAAATTGCTTGGTGATATGAAGCGAGTGGAGGAAGAGAACTGGCACTGAGCAGAGAGAGAGCATTGTTGAGCGGGATGACCAGAGCAAAGGTGGACAGATTTAATCGTTGCAAGATAATGAACAACATATATTCGCAGCTTTAAAAGCAAGCAGAAATTGTACCAAGGCTGGAGGGATTCTGTCTAGCAGTGGATAGAGAAATGTTGATGTGGCAATGATTGTAATCGAGATGGGCTTTGAGGCACCCTGTTTTGATCATCCGGTCAAAGGTCAAAGACACGTATGTGTTTGTTGAGCTTCTTCCGCACCATACGTAGACAACCGTGCTAGTCGGCGGTACATTCCCGTGTGTGGGAATGCGACAGGTGTGCCTGTCCTTCTGAAGGGATGTGAATCCAGCACTTGCCACGTCTGCTCGCAGGCCTCTGAGCACGCACAGCACTCGCAGTTTAAGTCGACAGTTGTGCTGCAGCGTTATGGCCAGAATTACTCAAACTATTCACAAAATGCATCCAAAAATGTAAAGCGACTGTGTTACAAGTGTAGTGAGTCCAACTGAGTCACAGACGTTGTTCTTTAGAGGCAACACTTTTATTGTAACACGTAACACCAGATACAGCCTAGGGAGGTGGCCATACAGAGGAGTTACTGCTACGAAAGGTTGGGCCCTCACTCGGGTCCCGACCACGTGTTGATGCCTTTTAGGACGTAGAGCTTCCAGCTTGTAGACGTGCAGCTTCCAGCTTGTAGACGTGGAGCTTCCAGCTTGTAGACGTGGAGCTTCCAGCTTGTAGATGTGGAGCTTCCAGCTTGTAGACGTGGAGCTTCCAGCTTGTAGACGTGGAGCTTCCAGCTTGTAGATGTGGAGCTTCCAGCTTGTAGACGTGGAGCTTCCAGCTTGTAGACGTGGAGCTTCCAGCTTGTAGACGTGGAGCTTCCAGCTTGTAGACGTGGAGCTTCCAGCTTGTAGGTGTTGAGCTTCCAGCTTGTAGACGTGGAGCTTCCAGCTTGTAGACCTGGAGCTTCCAGCTTGTAGACGTGGAGCTTCCAGCTTGTAGACGTAGAGCTTCCAGCTTGTAGACGTGGAGCTTCCAGCTTGTAGACGTGGAGCTTCCAGCTTGTAGACGTAGAGCTTCCAGCTTGTAGACGTGGAGCTTCCAGCTTGTAGACGTGGAGCTTCCAGCTTGTAGACGTAGAGCTTCCAGCTTGTAGACGTGGAGCTTCCAGCTTGTAGACGTGGAGCTTCAGCTTGTCGAATGCAGCGACCCCGGTCCCTCTCAGGGACCCGCCTTATATCCTCCCGGGTCGGGGCCGCTCCGCCCTTGGCCCCGCCTGCCTTCTGGAGCCTTCTAGCTTCCTCTAGATCTCTCTCGAGAGCTCTCCCCGGACATGTGATCACCCCCTAGTCCCCCGCTCCCCCACCTGGGGCCCCTTCTTTGGACACTCGTGATCACGTGTCTACGGGGTCAACCAGAGTGCCATGGCCCGAGGCAACACTGTCCCTGGGCTGACACTCTCCCGCTCCCCCCTGTGTAAGCCCGCACTACACACTATGCGTGGTGCCCGCACTATCCCAGCGCACACCAAGCCCCGCTAGGGCTGGTACCACAACCACCACGGGGTGTGCGCGATGACGGTGCATCGCGCGCCACGGCCCTATCGGGCCGGCACCATACAGTGACATCCCCGATGTCACTCCACAAGTACCGAATAACCGTGCTAAAGAATCGTCGCCTGGGCAATTATCATGTGTAATCATGTCGGTCACATAAATAATGTCATATGATAATCGTGTGAGCTACCAACGATAGACTCCAGATGGAAAAGTACAAAAAGACATTCGTACGCCACCCTTGCCATTAGACTTTACATCAGCCCTTTCGTTATTATATTTTTTTGCAGCAGTCGGAGAAAAGATGGAGCCTGTCGTCCCCTGGCAGCGACTCGGTGGTGGAGAGCGTGAGCGTGAGTCTACACGAGCTCAGAACCCCACACACGGCACCAAATGTCACGCACCATGAAACATGCAGCATTCACCCGCACCACAACGCCACTCACCGTGCAGCCTTCCAGTGCTGGGCAGCTCTTGCGGGAGGCAGCGTGCGTGTGGGTGAAGCGGGTGAAGCGTGTGCAGCATGTGCAGCGAGCTCATGGCACGATTCACCGGTATCGCGAGGAGGAGAGCGAGTTTCAGTTGTGAAACTTGCAGCGTCTTGAACAATAACCGCAGTTACATTTTATTTTCATTTAAGTGAAACGAGCAACTAAGTGTTCATGTGTTTGTGTGTGTCATCATATAATAATACCATTGTAATGATTGCAATTTCACAGTTTGAGCTATTTTGTAAAATCCGTGCAAATGATTGTGCCTCAAGGCGAAGAATTGAGCGTGTACACGAGACGGGTTAGAGCGTGGGAGGGAGAGCACGGATGAAGCAAACGACCTCTATAAGAGATAATGCTGCACAATTATATTCCGACACCCCCCTTGCCAGGGCCGTATTATCCAACAGTGCCTATGAAATTTAAAGGCATACCAGACACAGTGCATACTATGCCTAGGGCCGATGAAAACTAAAGGGCCTACAAAAAAAATGTGACCATGTATTTTTGTTTCTATTGAAAAAGAATGTAGCCAAGATATTTCCTTGAATAAATTCATTGACATAGCAAGGATAGGCACAGTGTTTCAAATTAAATCTGCTTATCTGCGGCACACAGCGTGCTCCCATCAAATTAGGGTCACAGACTAAATAATGAACGTATTAGTAACGAGATCTGTCCAGCGACTGGACGAAGTACCGTGTGAAACAAGCGAGCGACAGCGGCAGTAGTAGTCGTAACCAGGGGCAGCAGTGCCAAGTGTAGAAAGTTATCACGGAAGGCCTACGAAACAAGTGCCAGGGGCCTACAAGAACCTTAATCCGGCCCTGGCCCTTGCACATTGCATTGCCCTGCGCTACAAAGCCCTTGTGTACTGTGGCACAGGGCATTATGGTGCTTAACATAGCTCCTCCTGCACGTCCATAAACGCTCCTGCTCCATGCGGCGATTTTTAAACTGTGGACGTATGCGGGTAAGAGCCACGGTTGGAGATCGACGCGGATAGGTTAAAATAAACGAGGGAGGAAAAAGCGCATGTACGCATTAATTATGTGACGCTTTCCCACGTGAGTGCCGGGTTTTTGGAAAATATTTAACTAGCGATACTATCTTTGAGTTTCAAAAAGCTTAGTGAGATGGCGTTGCAAGATTAAGTCACAAGCAATGACACCATGAGGCTGAGAGGGGGGCGAGGGGGGTGCGCACTTCATTGAATGCTGGTTTTGTGTACCCTTTTAGCACTGGTTTTTGTCTTCAAGTTTTTGGCAGCCAATGATCAATTTGGCCTATATCCTATCGGTTAAGTCCCTTCTAGCGACAAAAGTGCATACGAAAGTTAAATTTGTTTTGCATCATCAGTTATCGCGACCACGTTCTACAGATAAAGCTAATGCATTACCGCTCTCAGCCTTGGTTGGAGAGTGCTAAAGTCTCTCTCCACAAATAACCCTGACCAGTGGTATACATTCTACTTGCAACCGTTCCCTTTCAAAGTACCATAAATTGATACTCATTTTGTTGGTTATGGGAGGAAAAAATAAGCTCAGTCAACCTCCGAGCGATGTGTCCCCATGGTCCTTGGCATAGGCATATGGAATTTCTACGACTGGCTCAGGACTAGCCGCAGTCATGAGCATCGCCCAATGCCCACTGGAGTGCGGCGACACGATTTCATGTGGCGCGTGGAAATGGTGTCGTGAACGGCACATGACGTGTAATTAATAAGAGAACAGTGGGGGTGTGTCTTCAGTAATCCTGGCATAAAGTTCATGGCTGGCAGTAATAACTTAAATTTACCTTTGCAGGAGCACATTTTCTGACAGGTATTACTCTTGGCATCGTCCAAATTGGTCTTTCCTTCAGCCAGCCGTCATGGCCATAGCTTTATGGTCTAAGCCCCTGGAACAGGAGGTCCTGTCCTCGTCTGAATAGCGAAATGTGTCCCATCCTAATGGCTGGCATGGAGTTCATGGCACCTCAATAACTCGGCAGAGTTGAGTGAGGGAGGGAGAGTTTCCACATGCTCTTCCAGGCTGGGAGTCTATTGAAGCGCTGGCAGCCATAACGCCTAATGTAGACTGACGAACACATCACAAAATCACCATAAAGATTCAAGGCAATTGTTACCATAATGTCATCATCAGTTTCCTCATCGTTCACCCTCAACATCGCCATGTAAGTTGAACTTCTTTCCAACTGTACAGAACCAACCGTGCTAATCGGAAGTGTGGGCGAAGGACAACAAACTAAACACAAAAATCTGTTTTAAAGAAATTCATTTTAAATCGAGATCATTTACAAGTGCACAGCCCCCCGTGGCTTCTTAATATCAGAAGAAAGAGCATTCCAGACAGCCGCAGAAGCGCATCTGAATGCGCACGATGCATTGGCCCTCTTTGTTCGATGTCCAGCCAAAAGCTGCCGCAAGAATGACCGGAGTTCGCGTGATGGTTTATGCTGTCATCCTGATCGTCCTGGTCATAACCATCAGATTCATCACCCTGGTTATTGTCCGCTATCAACACAACCACAGTCATCACTATCATTCACACCCGCACGTACTAATTTGATTAAGCGTGACTCGCGACATACCGTTCTGCCCTTCATTCAATTAACTGACATTGTCATTGTGGTCCAACGAGTGTCGTTGTGCGACAATCTCATCGCTTGTCACTCCTGCCGTCGTTGCCCTTGCAGGAGATGTCCTCTCAGAGTCGCCCTCCGCTCGATCTGCCGACAACCGACAGCAGCCGGCGGCAGTCTCCCGCTCCTGCCATGTGGCCCTTCCACGGCACGGGACACGAACACCAGATGAAGGATGCGTCGGAGCAGGAAGCTTCGGAAGACCTGATCTCCTTCACGGGAGGAACGGGCGATTTCCAGACCGAGGTGTGAGTGTGGTGCACGGACAGCCAAGCACACTTTTGTGTGAGAAAGGTTGAGAGAAAGGTTTGAAAAAAGCTTCCCCCCCCCCCTTATTACTTTGTTTGATTAAGGAATTGCTGTACTTTACGCTTCATATTTTAGGCAAATTTTTTGGAGTGATATTGGCCCAGGTTGTGGCGTGTATCTCTATTAGCATCGAATGTAATAGGCATTGTAAAGAAGTTAGTTATTAAGACTCTGTTGTGATAATTAAAACAAAGGTATACCACCTTTCTTTAGAAAGTGTTCATTTAAATTTGTTTACTTACGACCGGCTTATATAATTCTTTTCAGTTTTTAGTTTCGCTAAACTTAAGAGCATTCAGACTTTGTACTGCAAACATGTAAAATGTATCGGAAAGGTCTGACTGCATGTAAATAGAATTTCAATTCATGTGATGGCATGAGAAGTTATTTTTTAATAATTCATTTAATGATAATTATTTTATTTTTAAAAAAAGAAAATAAATAAACTAAAAGAATTATACAAGTGCAAAAGTTATATTAGGTTGTGATGGTATATTTTAAACAAAAAAAATAGCAGTTGCTTCACCTGTTTACTTGCTTAACTGAACATACAGTAGTTGAATTAATGCTAATATTTTAAGAACTATTGTCCATCATTTTGACTGGATGTACAATACGCTTCACCGTATAATTACCAGTGTATAGTTTAATCCTTTTTGCAATGTTTATTAAGAAGAAGAAGAAAAAAACAAGCAAAAATAAAACAAGCATTACTCGTGCGAACATTGGCAGCATGTATAAATACATTCGCTTCGGTTAACAACGCACCGCGACTAACACAACAACCGAAGGTGGGTTACAGTTTGGTTCTGATGATCAGTGACAATTATTATTGTGTTCTTAACCTGGCGATTCAACAATCGCTGAACGACTACGTTGTTGGTTGACCACACATTTTGAAATAATTTCCCCATAAATTCCACCGTGGTTATTTACTGCTGCTAAGTGTAAAGTGTCACTATTTAAATTGGCTTCCATTGCTTCCAAATTTTTTCACAGAGAAACTATGTAGACCATTACAAAAAAATGTTTACAGCTACCATGGGATAGTTATAGAGTGCTGCTACGGCGCGACAGATCTTTTTTTCCCGTTGTTCTCACATCGTCTGCACACGCTGTGGAGTTGTGAGTTGCACCACTGTACATAGGCATTCGAGGGAGGGATAACAATTGTCTTACTTTGTAATATTATCCTGGCACATGTGTTTTTTGTACTTTCGTGAGAAGGATGGTGCAGAAAGTGAAATTTTAGTCTGGCCTGGAGTCACTGATGGGGTGGAACCACGTGGTATTTCAGCAACAAAGCAAAGGAATGCTCTATTGCGTTTATAAATGTAACATAATTACTGAATAAATTAGTTATTACTACCAGTGGTAGATGGATGATAAAATTGTGTTTGTTAAAATGTAATAGTCTGATAAAGGAATATTATGAAGGCACAGTTGTGCTCTGAAACGATCATTGGGTAGCACTCACCTCTCATGCCAGCACTTACTTAGATAGTAGATCAATGTCCACCCTCCTTCGGCTGTCTCCACATGGGATGAGTTATGCCAGAGGGTTTTGTCCGAAAATGACAATATTTAATTCACAAAGTATTCGCTTAGGAAATGACATTTTAAGTAACACTGCCTAAAGTAATACAGAGGTACTATCAATGAACATTTCCCTGAAACCAAGTTTTCAATCAAATGGGTATCCAGTGCATCTGTGACGGAGTGTCAGGTACGAGTGTTATATCAGGAAGGTAAGGAGAACTGTGGGCAATGCTGACAACGCTACACACATTCCGACAGGCACTCCCAGGTAGGATAAGTTTGGCCATGGTGCCACGTAATTATTTCACCCTTAATGTCATATCCTCTCACCCTTAATGTCATATCCTCTTCCACGTGCTGCTGTACTGAGGGCATTGGCAACGTGAGATAGTGTGGCATTTCTGTGCTCGTGTGTGTGCAAGATGGAATCAGTGATGGAATGGTTTTCAGACTACTGTGATCCCATCAACCAGGGTTCGATTCACGACCCATAGCTAAGTTCAGTGACACGTGGTGTCTGAACCTATTGTTCAGTTCCCTTTGTTTGACTCGGCCTGAGATTAGTACTATCTTTTACAGTGTGTGTAAATAACGGCACTGGGGAGACAGAGGCAAATTGGCATGGTGATAACCACACCGCCACCCTCTTGTACAGCATACCAACCAGCCTTAATAGATGCTCACTAACAGCCGTTACACATGCATTCCATAAGACTAAACAGGGGGGTTCTGTGAATGCGTGTTTGCGTGTCTGTGAAAGACAGCAAGTGCACGCTATAATTGCAGTGTCCCTGCATTCAATCCCTGCTTTAAATTTTCGGAGCCGATTGATTGTGGCTTGTGTGGTCCTTTGCTACATTGAGTTGGCATAAATGAGGAGGGAAAAACAAAGGCAGCAGATAGAAATGCTGGTCACATTGTCCACCATATTCGGGATGGACTCCATGCATTTATTCATCAATTAATATAAATTCCTAAGCTCATGATTGCATGCACCAAATTTCACACTCGAGATTCAGTATTTTTTTATCACGTTATCCATGTTTGCAGTGAGGCATTTTATTTCATGTTATGGGAGCATTATAAATGTAAGTTGTACGTATTGGTATTCACTCTAGATTTGAAGCTTTTGTGACTGCAAGGATTCATATTCTTAGGTTTTTTCGGTAAAGTCACATTGGTATTCACATCACACCTTGCAGCTTCTATAGTTGCTACCATTCACAATCAATGTAAAACAAAAATGGATTCTTGCATAGAAAAATTGTGACAATTCATGAAACTCACCGGGGGATGCATTTGTACTGCTACGACGGGCCTATTCATTTGACTACAGCATAGCGTCAACCATCCGGTGGGCACGTGTCTGCTTCGTAAGTTTTCCTAAGATTTAAGATGTGCACTTACGTCCACGTTCAATGACAGATACATTTTAACTCACAGATGAAGTTTGACAATTGACCCTCTATGAATGCCACATGTTTGCTAATCCAACTCACTTAATCCAAGTACAGTGCAGGAAGTGCTTTGGTTTTTTTTCTTCTCCTGGTGTGACTCTCACGTGATGCCCACGACGTTTGCCCAGATGCCCTCGGGCAGCCTCGACGCTGAGAACTTATCGTAATGCGGGGCAGTTGCTACATGCCTTTCCGTTGTGGAAAAAACATCAACAAATGTGCGTCTGCTTCGCAGCACTAACACCGGGACATGCCCCTTGCATTACATTTTAACCATCAGAAACCTTGAGCACCTGAATGGAGCCTCCCGTTTTTTGTAGATTAAACTGAACACAGTTGGCTTTGAGAGCATTATATTTGATTAATCTTTGAGTCATACAGTGGGTAACTACGAGGTGTGTTCATCATTTCGTGTTCGTAATCACACCAGCTTTGTTCGACCTATGACTAATTTGTGGGCCACGGGCCTCCGCACGGTCAGGATTAGCGCTCAAACCACCAGTTGTGCACGGCTCCTCGAACAGATGACACCGGAGCAGACGAGACGTAGTCGTCTCTTCACCGTAAGTTCATTTATGTTGCACGTCGGGGTGGGGCCCGATGTACATTTCGATCAATCACGTAGCCAGGGATGATGGCACGAGAAGCATCATCGCGACGAATTGTCATCAAATTTTCTTGTAAATCAAGGGCATCCAGTTGCACATGCTTCTGAAACAATCTGAAATTTGTATCCCGTGCCCCCTAATAATTCACAGCAGTTGAATATTGGCATGATGTAACGCCAGCCAGTAGTGTTCGTGTTTTCGGAGCCCTGCCAGTCGCAAAGTGTACCTTTTATGCTTTGTTGCCAGCCACTCAGATATGAGCTGTGTCTGTTTTGCCACACGCAGATTGATCGCTTCCTTGGGTTTACATAAGCACTGCCTGCAGGCGAAACACGCACTCCGTGATCTCGGCAACTAAATATGACAAACATATGCACACGTATGTCATTTGTAAGTAACCAAAACGTGTAAATCCCTAACATACTTACGTCAGTATACATGCGTCACTTGTGTCACAGCTCAATGAATCTGCACTTGCTAAAGTGGATTGCAGAGCAACGGATTTATTGTGTTGACTGTGGCACAATAAATATTGCAATAATCCTCCTGTGACATGTTTCATCCACTAATTTGTGCACATAATTTAAAACAAAGGTTAGGGTGACCTATGAATTTGGTGAATGAGCGCAACCACTGCAGGATGAAAGATATTTAAATCATTTCACAAATTTGACATTGCATGTCATATTTCTGGGATGTTCACAAACCATATATTATTCATACAATACTTCTTCCGAGGTTCATTTAGGGCTCTATAAATGCTTCCCACACTGGTTCTGTTTTCGTTATACAATGGTGGATGATGCTTAGTCAGTGATGCTCATGTTTAAACCTCGCATGCTTGCATCAAATCATTGCTTTCTTTCTTACGACATGAGTTAACCACAAAGAAGCCACTGTTACACAGTAGTGTGATACATCCACCTAAAGGTTCGTGAGGCAAGTCGGTGTCTGATGCATCTTTGCAGAGTTTTAGTGTCGGGCATTCCCATATCAAACGTGTTCCTTGGTTTCCTTACGAAATGGAGATTAAATAAAAGCAGAATTGGCAAAAACAATCCTAACAAGAAAGGTATTGAGACTCAGTAATACACTTTAAAGAGTTCATGTGAACTGTTACTTTCTCAAAAACATTCTAAGGTAGGTGTTAATTTTTTTTAAAATCGTCATTAAAAACGTTGGCAGTGGTGAGCAAGGACCAAAATATACCCAATTTTGGCCTAAACAGAAAAAAGTTTAGGTTAATGTTTCACACAATTATCCTACATCGACATCCATGCCCATGGCATCAGGAGACAGCCTTCCATTAGGGTGGCTTGGAGCTGTTTACTACCACGTAAGCCTCTTAGATTCGGAGAAAAGCAAATTGTGTAAAAAAAAATTAAGCAAGCTTGGACCTTGGAATTAATGTGTGCAGGTAAACGAGGCGAGACCACAGAACGATTTTCACAGCTGGTGCAGGATTTAATCTCAACTTTTTGGGCTCCAGTGTAGAAAGCAAAGATCCCTGGTGCAGAACCATGCTGAGACTGGACTGGGAGTGTCTTGATCGAATTTGATATTGTTTGTTTTGCCACTTGATCTGTCTGTATTGTGTTGCAATTGAAAGCTTTCCTCTGGGACAATTTGAAAGGTGTGTGACTGACAGGCAACCTGGCCTATCGCTTAAGCCCTTACACAATTGACTAAAATTTTAACAGCTTTTCAATTTATTCTGTACATTCTTATTCCATATGTACCTACTTCTAGTTAGGATATATGGACATCTAGTTGGGATTTATGGACTGACTATGCTGGAAATTATATCGTGTAGGTAAATTGTTCTCGCTTTTTTATTTAACAACGTGTGTGTCAGTGGAGTGCTTTAGTCTAAAAAAATATTCATCTTAAATTGTTTTCCAAACGGCTTGCACAATTGATGTAAAATAACCAAATGTTTCGACTGAGAAACATCCATTGACTATAAAGTGAGATAGACATTTTTTTGTTAATCAAATGGGGATTTTTTTTATGACCGTCGGTAGTACATTTATTTACGGCATCACCAACGGATGCTGAACAATTCACTTGATTGAATCGGCGGTTAATTGAAAAAAAACAGTCTGCTTTGTAGGAAAGCGCATGTTACATTGGAAGCGCTGGATTGAACATCCAAGATTACAATGCACCTTCTTGAATGTATTATCAACCCAACTTTATAGAAATGAAAAATGAACACAGGTGTGCGATTGTTGAAACTGGCCTCTGACCAATTCACAAATGGCAACCCAATCAACATCAGCTGTCAGAGCCAAATGGGGGGGGCGCATTTGTACATTATTTTGTAGCTCAGAAAGGTTCGATCACAGCAACAGAGGCAAAGCAGACAAGACTAAAAAGTAGTGATTTTCCAATTAATCAATTGTCCCAAAATGACCTCATCTAGTATGATTATTAGAAGCAGTAAATGGCTTACTAAATACAGTTAACTGTCAAGACGCATCAATTTACGTGTTTTTTCACTCGCTTTCCCTGTATTAATTCTCTGTTAATTATCGCATGTTGATCTGGATTAATCCCCTCGGAATCATTGTGACTTTTAGTACATATTTTAGACATTATTTACCAACAGCCTGGTTTTAAAAATATATACGTTAATTGTGAATGTAAGTGTTCGAAACAAAACGGACATTGGTCATTTCGTCCAGGAGCCATTCACGATGCACATAAAGCATTTAATTTAAAAAGTTGCAACGCTTCTGTGAGAAGGGCATGACTCAAGTTTAATTTTGGCACCATCCTTCCTAATCGTGTAAGATACTAAACAAATACTAAATAATTAAAGCACAGAATTAAAAAGTAACTTTCATAATGATTTCAATCCACTTTTTAGTTCCTGTCCATATGGATATGTTTATTATAACGTGTGTAGATTGCTTGACTTTGCTGTAGCATAACTGTTGTGTCTCCCGTTTATGATTGATGCTCTATGATGTATGATTTGATATCTAACTCTGGCAAAATAATATTCATGTGGGGACTGTCTACTTTGCCATCTGTGTTTGCATATCGATTTTGGGCGTCATTTGTAATAAAAAAAAGTTATCATTAAAAAATATCCCCCTTACCAAAAAACAATTACCTGCGTGCGTTTGTTCACTGACTTTCATAAATAAATGCGGTTGAAATGCATGACATTTCTTTTCGCGAGCAACAGTACACAACACACACGAACACAAGAACAGGCATGAATATAAGATATCATGTTCGGCATAGAACAAAATCATTTGAAAAACTACATTAAGTCAGCCTCATTTCGTGCGGAATCAGACAACAAATAAACGTGTCCACAGACGCATCAGGATCCCCGTGTTGCCGTATCAGTATGTTAGGGGCAAGTGCTGCGAGCGAGCGCCTATGAAGGCCGGCACGGCACACAAGGGATAGTTGTTGGCCAACACTAGGCCCAGATGCCTCTGTCTCTCCTGGGGGCGATGCTTACACACCGCGCCAGGTATTCTTTTGAGGCCGAATCAACGTAGGGGAGGCCCAGGACCAGTTCAGTTGTCACCGGTGTTGACCGTGAGTGGTGAATTGAACTCGAGCGCTAATCCAGAAGAGACCGTACAACAATGATGAAATCCCGATCCACAAATAGGAAGGGGAGACATCACGGCGATACCACTCCTCGCTGTCCCTGGCACCACCTGAATGTGACATTGTTGTTCATTGCTCTGCGTCTACATCAGCCATATACGAAAGAAAGAAGACGGACTCCTCGTGAGTTTGAATAGCACGCCCGACTCTCATTGGCAGAGGAGCTATCGCAGTGGGGGGGGAGGGAGGGAGCTGGCAATGGGCACCCAATCGGATTTGAAGGCGGAGGGACATTCAAATCTGATTGTTCGTCAGGGAAAACTAAAATGGTTACGAGTGGTCGGTTGCGAAACCGCTTTGGGAAATGAATTGGGATTGGGTGGAGAGTCCTGGAAGGTTCGGGAAACGATAGGGCGAGGGGGGGGGGAATAAAAGGAGGGGTAAGAAAGGAGTTCGGGGCGGCTGAACGGAGGGATTCTTTGATGTTCTGATACGCCATAAGGACAAGAGGTAATGAAAACGAAGTTCAAGGCTCGCCCGGTTGCTGCAACTCCTTTACACAACCAACGCTGGGCAAGGTCTATCAACGCCAGTACGCAGCACGGTAATTTATACTGGTAAGGAACCTCTGGTTACACCAGCCCACAGGGGATTATTCTGTCCGTCGTGCATTCCAAATATGGGAGGGGTGGGTGGAGAGGGGAGGGGCTGGGTGGAGAGGGTGGGGTGGGTGTGGGAGGGGTGGGGCTGGGTGGGGAGGGGCTGGTCATCCCGTGGTGCCCTTATAACACGTTCCTTCGGAGTGGGCAGGTAGGAACTTGGTTGGACAGCGCGGTGTTCGGGGGGGGGGGGGGTGAGTTGGATGAGTGGGTATGTTTACCTTCCCCCCACCCTCCCCGACATCCTCAACCAATCGTGGCCCTGCTTGGCGGTCGGTGGGGGGGGGGGTGCATGGGTGGGCTGCATTCCGATGCACGACAGACAAATAATCCCTGGTGGGCAGTGTGGAACCCGTTGTTCCTACCTGTAAAACTCAACGTTTAACATACTCACGCCGGCTTGTGCCCGCCCTCACAGTCGCCCATATTTGCGGAATACACCACGCCGCGATTGACCCTGGCCATTGACCGAGCAACCCAACGTTCCTACCAGCTCCCTCCACAGGAATGTTTTTCAGATTACATTGTGTTCTGTGTGTTGTATTGTTAAGCTTGCCAAGCCAACTGCATGTTTAGTATTAATTTTGTTGAGTTGTGTTTTTTTTGCAGTCGTGGCAAATGGTGTCTTCAAATTGGCAGATGGCTGGAAAGGTAAAAAGACAGCAAGAGCCTATTGGCTCCCTTAACAAATATTAGGCGTTGGCAGGAATTGTTGATAAACACGTAAAGAGGCCTCTGCAAGAAACCCAACAGTTTTCGATCATGCAGATCTCACTGGATAAGCCTCAAGCTCACAACTAACCAGGCCATCAAGCCCAGCATCTGGAGATCCCTTTGCCACCCAAACCTCTCTGTCTGAGCACGTCCAGCCCACGGGGGTCAATAGGCCCGAGTATCAGAACCACCTATCCCAGTTTGGGTGATCAGCATTACTTGCACTCCTCGACTTTCTCATGCACCTAGGGCCTGCCAGTGGACAACCTGCGGCTCTTTAAGGACTTGCAGTGTGGCTCTTGACATTCCAAAAAAATGTCTCTTCTTGTTATTTTGATTGCCGACCCCTGAACATGCAGGGCCAGTTCACCATGTAAGTTCATTTTACCATGGGCACGAGTTGGAACCTCGGCTCCGAAGACGCATGCGGCTCATTAAAGGAACTGTTTCGTGACGTTAATTATTAGGGATCACCGTCTCGTATTCACAAGCATTGCGGCTCTTGAAATATTGTTTTTTTTACTGAATTCGGAAAAAAATGCCCCGTGTTGTTTTGGGTGCCAATGGTAAACTGGACTTCCATGGTGACCTTGGCAATCAAGGGGATACGGAGCGTTATACCCCAGGCCCTGATCCCAACGGAATGCCATGGCATCATCCGTCTCCAGGGTCCCCTCCGCTATGTGACTCTCACCACAAACTGATTCACATTTGCACTGTCCATCGGACGGCGAACCAGTCTTTTTGGTTGGATTTCATAAAGCGTTTCAATACTCGAGTAAAAATTCACTGGCATCCAGCCTTCTCTTGGCCGAGCCAACCTGGTCTTTTTCCACCCCTCTCCCCCCCCCCGTGAGGTGTCTTGCCATAACCGTGCTACTCAGTCCATGACAAGGAGGGAAATGGGTTCCCGCGTCGGCAAGTCGTGCTTCAGCCATCCCTCTGTTGACAATGGTCGTGGTGTAGTCGCCTCCGATCAACGTACCCACCATGCCCCCGCTCACTGTTCACTGGTTGTGGCAGCACCAAACGAATAGCTCCGAGTCCTAGGAAATCTATCGTTTTTTTTTTGCATTTATCGTTCATTACAGATTTCCATCTGTATGGTCCAAATGGAACATATGGCATTGCTGCCCCAACATTGTTTTGTTAATTTGTTGCATTGTGCAACACCTTAACTTTTCACTATTTGTTGCACATATCTGTTTGCATGACTGATTGAGAAGACGTTGGTGTATAATATGCACCGGACAGACAATAATTCAGGGCTCAAACAATTGCATGAATAATTAAAGATAAAATGCCGTTTTATTTTTGTGCAACACATTTTCCACCGTGTTAACACGTCATAAGCTGCACAATAACTTTCACTCGTAATTTATGAAACATTTCAACCGTGTCGGTTTCCAACATTACGTAAACATTGTTGAAATTACTGCCAACATTTATGAATGGGTAAAATTGGTCAGCCAGGATATGAGGCCACGTGATTATGAAAGCCCAACAATGGAGGGTTTTTTTTGTCAGTTCACAAAGTGAAGGCTTCACACATGGCAGATGGTCTCATTCTGACACGATTAGATGTTTGAATGGTGCCGAATGCTGCTGGGACATGGACCAGGCTGACGGAAGTGCTTCGTATTTAAAAATTCAATTTTTTGTAAATACGTGAAAACCTTGCCCAACGCAGCTTTATCAAACACTTGCTTCGGCCATACACGGCGTACCTTGTGAGGTCTGTTTTCTGGAACACGGGGGTGATGTGTTGGCTCTACGCGGTGTGGCGCTGCTAAGATTCTCATCTCGTCGTCGACAAAGTTGTGCCGTGAGAAGGCCGCGTCCGTTGGGAGGTGGGAACGAATCGACTGTGAGAACGATGTATCCACCACGTGCGTGTGTTTAGTTTGTGTGTGATCATTTAACAACGCACAATGCCAATGTTCACACATTACCGCACGCATCTACCCGCCCACTCGTTTAGGACGTCAGTCATATGGACGTCGAGATGGTGAAATCGTAAACGTTGGGAGTGACTGCGTTCGGGGCGAGCGTTGGGGGTGAGTGGCGCGCGCGGTGCGGGAAGAGGAATGGAGACGCGGTTTTTGAGTTGAGGTGAAATTGAACAATAAGAGTGGACACACACACACAAGACATTAGTTGAACAAATAGGGAGGGGGTTATTTCAGACCCAGGAACACAACCGTATTGTTCCCCAATGGTCTATTGTCGAACGCGGTTTTGCACGGCACAGTATTTTCCCTGAACGTAACCCCCGCGTTTGGCGAGGCCTGCCCGTTACACACATATATACAAGTAGGCTATTATATATATAAAGATTAATAGAAGATCAAGAACAATTCGATTTTCTTAGGAACGAGCGTTAACTGCGAGCATTCAAGAGGCAGTCACATCTACCTCCCCACAATGCCAACGTAAGTTCCAAGATTGATAAACGCTGTCTTAAAAAGTGTTTTTCTTTTTCACGCCAGACAACCGATGCGATTAATCAAGCGATTTCATAGCGCAAATGATGGCCTGAGAAAATGTTTGTTTTGTGAGCTGGCAAGGGGGCTAACGAGCGAACGATAATCACAAAATCGTAACTCGAGCAACGGCGCAAGAAAGCGTTGGGCCAATTTCGGCTGACGCGCTGGATGATCGAGGGACCATTGCACCAAATCGGCTCAATTTTCATGCCAATCACATGACAATGACATGGGATTTATATTCCTCCAAACATTGCATACTGGGGTTGAGTACGCATTGTTCTCAATCATGATCGAGTTGTTTTTTTTCTCTCCCCCCCCCCCCCCCCCATAAAGCGAGGCTATCCGAGGCAATTATTGAAGCAATATTTGTTTTTAAAGTGGCCAGATATTTGAAGTTGAAGGTCATTGTGAGCAAAAGCGCAAAATGAAAAAAACCGCGATGAGTGCAGCATTTCCAATTGTTGCAGAACACAGCTTTTGATTCATAAGTGCGTCTACACACTTATATATCAAGAAATTTAATTGGAAATCAGGTCCATGTTACACGAACAATGCACGGGATGCAATAGCACAACCTATGCAGCTGCTCCCAGTGGTGTCTGTTCATAGCCCTGTCTTCAAATTTAGGGAGTTCCTGGCAGGCTTACAATGCCAACGGCGCTTT